TTGCAAACGCAAAGCACTAGCATAACTGCAATAAACAATTTATACTTATACGCCAACCACGTACGAAGGACGGGCTCTCTGCTAGTGAACTATATTTTCGTCATACTGCACCATTAATTCAACTAAAGCAAAAAAAAAAAATACTTGATAAAACATAGTCTATGCTAAAACCTTACTAATAAATCAATAAATAAATAATTTTGATCCATGTGATTGCTACAATTGAAATTTATATCTGTTCACAACAGCTGATTTTTACTCCCTAGGGACTAAAAAGGCTTAGGGAGTAAAAATACTACCTACTTTAGACCCGGAACACATGTATAAAAAACGGCTGCTGTTATTGCAACAGTATGGCAAACAAATAATTTTTAAGTTCAATCTCGGATTTAAGTACATTTCCTATAGAAATCTCCTTTTAATTAAAATCATTTCAATAAAAATTACATCCATTTAAATTGTATTTTGATGATTGCAAGATGAAGGGGCGTAAGTACATAGCCTATGAGAAGCCTATACGTACTCATGCTTCTTCGTCTTGGAAACAACAATTTGTCACATTAAAAGATTTTTGTGTTTAGGTCTACAGTTTCAGTTTAAGGAGGAATTTACAAAATTTGGAATCAGAACTTTATTGATGAACTTAATTAGCTTATCACATTTTAACTGCAAAAAAATAAACAAACATTAATCTGCTTAAACTCCACTCCATTTCCATAAGTTAACAATTCGTTAAAAGAAAACTGAAAGCTTCTAGTATAGGTTTAAAACAAAACCAAAGTAAAATGTAAGCTTAAATCAAACGGTAACTATTAGTTTTTCCTCAACACTGCTGCTAATCAGTGGCCCTATGCACTCTACTGTATAAGAAATAGAATCATTAAACCAGGCAGGACTGCCGACTGGTTGTCCTTGTCTTACTTTCGGAGTCAACAACTTGTTTCTTTTATTGTTACAAATAACATGACTCCAGAGGAATGTACTGAGTCTCCATATAGAAACTTTAATCGGCCATTTATATTAGGAGTTAAAAAAAACTAATTTATGAATTTAATCATTCTCTATGTTCTTTAAGTCTTTCACAAAAAAACTTCTGTATTGTGTTTTTCACTTTAATTTTTACTTTCAACACCCTTGCAATTTTTACAGATTTTTGTATGGAAACGGTACAAATCCTGGTCTTGACATTAATTTTTGAACTATCTTATTTATTTAATGAATTAGTATTTGCAATAGTATTTTCAGCATGCGTGCTAAAATGAAAAATAAAGTATGCATAGCTTTTAGATTAGCCTATAAAATTTTAACTTTGCATAAACATGTTTGTAGCCTATAAACTATATTATTTGAACCTTGTCTTGAAGCTTGTTTTTGTTTTTGTAACAAATTATCTAATCTATGTTTAAATGGTGCTGACTGTTGATGACAAATAAACCACCAACTCAACCCTTGTTTATTTGAAAACCTCCATAGCTAGTAATTTGATTACACAGAGTGATTGTAAAGACCAGACCGGTGTAATATATTTGTTACCATTATTGATAAGGTAATGAGACTTATCAATAACCATAAATGTCTACACTCTTTCAAGCTAATTATCACATTTTTATCCCTTAAGGGGGGCAAGAGGTAGAGTGCGAGACTCTGGTCCCAGGGGTCCCGAGTTCAAATCCTGCTAAATCACCAATGGATTTTATCGAAGTGAAAATGCCGCAACCAATAGGTCTAGCCTGAAGTTAGGGCTAATGTGAAAAACAATCCTAGGCTCAAGCCTGGAATCCTAGGATAAAAAATACCCCCGCCGCAGCAAACCTGCCGACTAAGCGAATTTCCATTTGTCTGAATTGATTTTCAGTTAGCCTAAATATATTTTAATAACATTAGGTTTAACGAGTACCTAGGTTTGCTGCTACAAGGAAACTAATAAAGTGTGTTTTTGAGTAAAATATTGATAGCTTAGTACAAAATAAATAAATTTGCCAAGTTTGATCAAAATATATTCATAAACAAGCAAACTACAACATTTGACAATATTCTCCATAAGAATAACATGGGAATTTTAAATTTACAATTTTTTAAATTTGTCTCCGTTACTAATAATTGAACGAAAATACTTTTATATACTAAATTATTTGTTTTTTTAAGCTCTTTAAAAAGGTCTAAAGAGAAATTGGGAAATTTTGTGTTTTGAGGGTCAAAAGTGAGAAAAACCAATTTTTACCCCATAAAACCCCCCGTTCCCATGGTCCGATCGTGCTGGTTCGCGAACTCATTCAAGTTTATCCCGCTTTACACCTTTAAACCAAATTTCATCAAAATCGGACATAAATTACTCAAGTTATATATATTTATATATACATATAAATACGTCCGTGAACGCGATAACTTGAGTAATATAAGTCTATATATATACATATATAAAAATTTGAACTAATAGTGTTTTTGGCCTCTGGGGACATCAAAATGAAAAAGTAAATCGGTCCCGGGTCTAGGTCTTACCGTGCCACCTACGGTAATAGCTACTTCCCTATAGGGAAATTCGCTAAAAGGAGGTTCGTGATGGGCGGCTCACGAGGAGTCAGACAAGATTCTTAAATAGCAGCATAGGTCGAGTTTGGTATCAAATTAAAGGTCTTATAGTTAGTTAAAGCCCACTAGAATTTGGAAGAAGATCATAAACTTAAATATATAAGTCGATGTGCACATCAAATCAAAGGTCTTTTACTTCGTTCACAATATTTAGGCAGTTTTAGGGGAATAAATCTATCCCCTCCACTTGACCTGTACCTTAAAAGTAATAGCTCAATAGCTAATTAAGCAACATACCCTTCATTAAATACAAAAAAGTGGTGGGGAAACATCCTCTACCAAAATATTATGAATAAAGCTTAGTAGAATACAATGCCGCTAATTTGAGCTCAAAATAAGAAGTAAAATATGGTTCAAACATTCAAAATGGCAGATTCAAAAAATATTTTAACGGCTGCTATTTTTTACTCGGTTGTCCGTTTGAGTTTGGGTTTGCGGCAATGTGTTGTACTAACTAAGACTTTAAATTTGATACCAAACTGTATGCTGCTATATAAGAATTTTGTCTGATAGCTTAAAAGAGTAGACATTTATAGAAATTATTGGTAAACCAAATCTATTGTTGATTTTGTAAGTCATTACTTTATCTATAAACAAAATATGTTGTTATTTTATAAGTCATGATGTGTTTTTTTTGCAAAATAACTTTGGAAAATAAATAGGACCTACGGTATTCCTATTTTAACCATTTAACACTTAAAATGTGTTTCCTATAGTTTAAACAAATTATTCTGAAATTGGTACCTACCAAACCCCCAGAATTCCAATTTTTTGTGAGAAGCCGAAAATATAAAGAAACTACTTTTTGCAATGAACATGATTGAACAAAGTTTACCGTATTTCTAAACTTAGTCATGTCGTTTTTGTTTGTTTTGTATTTCATTTGTGTATTTTCCACCTACGCCAAATGCATTTTTCACGTTTTTGTTAGTTTAACTGTCCAAACCCTGCTCTTGTTACTAGGCCTTATGTAATGTCGACCTTTAAGAGAATTTCCCACATAGGGAATAAGCTATTACCGTAGTACTCATAGTAAGACCTGTACCTGGGACCGATTGACTTTTTCGTTTTGAGGTCCCTAGAGGCAAAAACACCATCTGTTCGATGAAATTTGGTATAAACGTGTAAACTTACATTAAAAATTGGTTTTTCCTATTTTTGACCCAAAAAAAATTAAATTTTGCAATTTCTTTCCAAACCATTTTAGTGTAGCCTATGCGTGGATTTTCCGTATGATGCACACGAGCTGAGAAAAAAAGGTTTTAAAGAAACATGCTTGCCTATTAATATATAGATGTTCACATATTAGGCTACCATATATCATATAGGCTATAAAATCCAATGTATGTTTGTTTGTTTGTTTGTCGTTATGGACTTTAAATGGAATTAAAGAATCTTAACAGCTGGTTCAACCATAGACAAATAGAATAAATATAGAACGGCAGCTGTGCTGCGGTTGGCACGGCAAACCTAGCGGTGGGCGCTGGAACCTTCCTTTGACAGTCAATATTTATTCTATTCATCTATGGTTCAACTAAACAATTTAATTATGTGATGTTCAATAGCATTCAAAAGTTAATAGGTTTATACCAACAGGGTGCAGCACTATTATTTTTTTTAAATTTATGACATCAGTTAATTTGCAACCAATAGGTGAGTGAGCGTAGCGAACGAACTTCAAGCTGGAGACAAGTGAGCGCAGCGAACGAGCTCCAACCTAAAGGCGAGTAAGCGTAGCAAACGAACATTAACCAAGAACGAGCTCATCTTGAAAATGAACAAGCATTGACATAAAACCACATTGGGACAGGATGACGTCTGCCGGGCCAGCTAGTTGTTAATAAAATAAAATAATGTATCATAATTATGTTAGTTGGAGGTAAACAAGATCAGCCATGTTTAAGTTTTAGTCTTGAGTTGAATTGTAAATAAACTTCAAAACTGAACTGTAAAAGTTAAAGCTTCTAATTTTATTTATATTTTCTAACTATAAATATAAATTTAATCATTGATTATCCGTGTCAACTCAACACTCTTGTAAAATGACGTTTGCCGTGCATGTAATAAATAAATAAAACATAGGCATGCAATTTTAATTTATGTGTTTATTTTTGTAATTAACTAGACACAGTCTGAGTCTATTCGCTCGGCGAGAGGGTCAATGACGAAGGTATTAAACAATATTTTATGAATGCATTATAACGATATTAAAGAATTTTTAATGTCATTCATGCAGTGTAGGACTAATCATGTTTTTTGTTATTTTTATGGAGATTAACGAAATCTATTGTAACGCGTTATTTAATAATTATTAACTTAATAAATATTTGATATATAAAACCTAACCTTTACACTGATAAGGCTATGCATTTTAAACACTTTAATTAAAAAACGTAGCTTTAAAAAAGTACCTTCTGTTTCCTTCCGAAGTCTTCAAGCTGATTTTCTGCTGCTCCTCGAGACATTTTCAAATTTAAGTTGACGAAACGCTACTAAAGAACTTTTATAACCACAAAGTTCACTCAAACAAAAACAATACTATTCAATGTAAACAAAACGGCACTCGCGCACTGAACTATATCGTATGAATGACGTTTGCGATAGGAGGATAGGAGCAGACAGACTGAGCAGACGGCAGTTTGTTTTGTGTGGAGTCAGTTTAGTAGACGCGTGGATTTGTTAGTATTACTCCTCGCAGTGTTGCCGTTCGGGGAAAATTAAATCCCTCGAAGCGCCCAGAAAATCCCTCAGAAGTATCATTGACTTTGGATAAGCATTTGCTAACACATCTAATTTATTAGAGTTCACAGATTATTACTATTATCATTTCGAGATGGGGACTCCCACCTAGGTGCGTATTTACCCAAATATGAGTGGATGAGGGTAGAATGCTGTGTTGTGAGATGATATGAGTAGCCATAGATTAAACATACTCGTATGTTTAATCTATGGTGTAGCTTTGTTTACTGTCTAAAATCATCAGCTGTTTCATCTATCAGTCAGGATCGTTATTAGTGTGCAAGCAAATGGAAGTGAACCTAAGAAGTTTCTTCGGAGAGGAGGGAAAATGATATTTAACGCGAAGAGCTCCATAGGAAAATTATGAGAAATTTAGTTCTAATGAGTTGACGTGGGGTAAAAACTGTTTTTTTTTTTATCTGATCCAGCTGTGATCTCAGTCTACTACTATCGGTTTTTCGGCCTATCGGGGTTGGGTCGGGGTCGGGTCGGTCGGGTGACCTTGACACTGACTGACAGTGACCAGCACAGCAGTGAGGACAGTGTCGTCTGGTATTGTTGTGACAACATAGATGACGGTTAAATTATTGATAACACGATTTGAACACTGTAAAACAACACTCCCCCTAAATCACATGGTCAATTTGGCGTGCAAATCGTGTGACCCCTGAGTAGTATTTTATTATTATCTTAAACCCTGCTTCTACCTAACCTAAAATGGCAGTTAGCCAAACAGCCAAAGCTTTGTGGGCTAGGTTCATGACAGATACAAAATCATTTGGAAGAGTGTTGGACAAAGTAAGTTACCTATAGCCAATTAATTTATAAGAACGTAAAAAACTGAAAAAATAGTCACAAGATACTGCTAATAAATACTTTTTACGTTTATTCTTTAACTCTGCTGTGTCCTCACTTCTTATAAGTTAAGTAAACATAAAACCCAAAGGGAAACTCCAAAGATACATAATCAAATACAATAAGCTAAGCTAAAAGCCAATCTTATCTGAAAACCCCTATGAAAAAATTGACTTCCATTCTCAATGGCATTCACTCTTGGCCAAAAACCCAACTATTATAGGTGCCGGTACTGAGTTCTCTCAAGCTGATAATTACCAGGATTTGTTATCACATTTGTAGTCAAGTCATTATAATTGAGCCTATGTCAGACAGCTAGTGAAATGATATCGCTTGATGTTAAAAGTTAATTTCATTGCCATATGTATAACTTAACTTGTATAATAATTTTGTTGATTCATCATTAATTCCTTTGGTAGGATTTGAAAGTGACTGTGCAAAAGAAAATTCAAATATTAACTACCCATAAGTTATAGGGTTATCACCTGGTATGTATTTGGATTTTCTTTTGCACAGTCAGAGTCAAGGAAGATCTACAAATCTGACCAAAGAAATTTATGATGAATCAATTAAACTTGCTTACTTTCTAATGCTCACTACCAAATTTCACATTCTTGTTCATAACAAGATTTATCTCGACAATGCAATTTTCAGCTAAAAATGGTGGTGAGTCGGGGCCTCAGTTGGTAGCGTCACGGACTTCGGGCCCAAGGCAGCAATGTCGTGGGTTCGGATCCTGGTTACTGCCGCAAACATTTCATCAGTACAATTTACCTTCCTACTGTACCGGCTCACCCCTTACTTTGCTGGATACTCCACACACAGATCTGTAGTCTATGTGGACAGGCAAATGCAAGGTTAAAAGAGGCCGCCAACCTCTTTAAAAAATAAATAAATAAGGTAAATTGTCAAACTGAATGCTATTTGTTTAATTTAGGTTAGGATTGTATCAGCTAATGACGGGCGGTGTACAGCCGAACTGACAGTTGCTGAAGAACATTCCAACTCCCATGGAACATTACACGGAGGTCTGTCTGCAACAATAGTCGACATCGTTTCAACTCTTGCCCTCGTCACACATAAGAGACAGGCATTTGGGGTGTCGACTGATCTCCATGTTTCGTAAGTAATTAATTACTTTTTATTAACCCTCCGAGTGTCACGTGTTTTGGCCTTAATGTCAGCCTATTTTTTGCTCATTTGCAAGATTTTATTAAAACTGATCTGAGAAGCTTAAAAACAATGTTAATTATACTGTTCTATATACCATTTTGTTTGGAAAATCTTGGGCTTCAATATTATATATAAAACATAAGGAAGATTTTTTTTAAAAAAATTTTTTAGGTAAAAAAAAATGTATAATTTCGAAAATTTAAAAAAAAATAAGTTTGCGCTCAATGAAATTGTATAAATTATAGGCCTATAAATATTTGAAAATAGCCACTTTGTTCTAAATTTTATGAGGATTACAAATATATAATAATATAAGGAAGTAGATTTGCAAATAAATAAGTTATGGGCAAAAAACAGATTTCAGTACATAGCGTTTAGCTAAGAATGCATAGCCCAACCATAGCTAGGAATCTGGCTGATAATTTACATCAATATCACTACCTATTTCTTCAGGATCATCAACCAGCACTTCAAAACCACTTAAATCTTCTTATAATGCACCACGTATATCACTACTTTTGATTTTTAACACTAAAACAATGATAAATGTAATAAAACACATCAGTCATCGGTCCGAGGGTAACCTAGCTGTTTACAAATACACGCACGTCAGCTCAGTCAGCTGTCTGCTACAATATTTTCGGAACTAAAATGAATAGTGCTTAGAGACAGACCTAGGAGAATGCTTAGAATATTACGGAAAGAACGATACCTAACTCAATCCAGTACAGTCCGATTCAGTTAGTCATAGAGCCTTCGCCGTAAACAGTGTTCGCGAGTCGCTGTAGCGACGCACGACACTATACAAAGTGCGTTACGCGTCGCTGCAGCGACGCATGACACTCGGAGGGTTAAAATTAAATCATTTGACTGTGCAAAAATTGTTTTGACAGTAAATCATTGACATTTTATCATTTAATGAAAATAAAATCAAGGAATACAAGGAGTTGTTTAAATCCATTGTATAGTTCTTAAATTCATGAAGTCATACATTTTAATGGAAATTTAATCAGCCTAAACATATTATCCAGAATCCATTTGCTGTGTTATGGTTTATGGTAGGCATATAGAGTTCTTTTTCTTAAATTAATCTTTGATTACATTCTTTAATATGGATGTATTTCAGATATTTAAAAGCTGCAGAAATCGGTGAAGATGTGGTCATTGAAGCCAACACAATACGTGCAGGACGGACACTCGCTTATCTGGAAGTTTACATTAAGAAAAAATCAGATGGTTCTGTGGTAGCCAAAGGATCTCATACAAAGTTTATCGGGAATGAAAGCGGTAACTTGTTTGAAAACCTGTCAAGCTAGCCCATATAGTTCATTTCAATTATTTATGTTGTGTTTTAAAAAAATACTTAAATTCTCTAACATGAGAATTCTTTACTCCCCATGCTCTTTGGTTTAAGATTGTAAAGTTATACAATATTATACAGTAGAACTTTTATTAACCCTCACTTTCAGGATCAGGAGCGAATAGTTTAAACGACCAGATAAAGTGATCATCAGATGAGTAGAGGGAAATAGCCAATAATGTTTAAGTTACATAGAAAAATATTAACACATATGCAAGTATGACAAACTTAATGTTCTGAATGTGATAAGATTTACATTGGACAAACAATTAAGCAGAAAGTTATAAGAAAAGATTCGAAGGAGATTTACAAGCCCTAAGATCAGGAAATAGAACCACAATCAAGTCCAACTTGATCAAGTTGGATGTTTTTGATACTTATTTACTTAATGTATTTACTTATTACTAAACGTGTATTGTATTTTTGTTATTTTATTTGAAGTGAGCGACATGACTATAGCATAATTGTCAAAACTAGTTGTCGTTAAATAAAAATGCATTCAATAAGGTTACTGTGTTAAAACGTCAGTTGTTGTAGAAACAGATTTATTAATTAATAATGTGTTCAATGAATTTGAATGTATGGTGTTTTTGGCCTATGGGGACATCAAAACTAAAACGTAAATCGGTTCTGGGTTTAGGTCTTACCATGAGACCTACGGTAATTGCTTAATTCCCTATATTGCATGCTATGAGCTGTGATGGCACCTGTGGTACCGTGAGCCGCCTGGTAGTAGAGTGCGGTGCGCGGTTTGAAAGTCGCAAACCATATTTAGTACTAATGAAGGTTGTTATTATTTTTAAGAAGGCACAAACTTGACCAAGAGACCGTTTTTGTTTAAGATTATAAATTGTTATCAGTTCGCTTTATTTCTGTTATCCGCATTTGAAGGAACCTCCAAACAGGTTTTGCCTTGGAGGCCCTAGATTTTCTCCAGTAAAGTTATATTGATCTTAGGCTATTTGTTTAAATTACAATAGTGTAACACCAATACCCCCGCCGCAGCAAACCTGCAGACTAAGCGAATTTCCATTTGCCTGATTTGATTTTCAATTAATCTATTCAAATAACATTAGGTTTAATGAGTACCTAGGTTTGCTGCCTACAGGGTAATAAAGTGTGTTTTTCAGTAAAATATTAACAGCTTAGTATAAAATAAATCGATTGGCCAAGTTTGATCAAAATATATGCATAAACAAGCAAACTACAAAAGTTTACTTATTTACTTATGGGAATTTTTAATTTATAATTTTCTCCGTAACCAATAACCATACAAAAACACTTCAATATACTGAATTATTTTTTTTTAAGCTCTTCAAAATGGTCAAGAAGAAATTTGGGAAATTTTATGTTTTGAGGGTCAAAAATGAGAAAAACCAATTTTTACCCCATAAATCCCCCCATAAAACCCCGTTCCCATGGTCCGACCATGCTGGCTCGCGAACTCGTTCGAATAAACTTAGGTTTACACGTTTGTACCAAATTTCATCGAAATCGGATCATTTTTGCTCGAGTTATCGTGCTGACGGACACATATATTTATATATATGAATTTGAACGGATGGTGTTTTTGGCTTCTAGGAACATCAAAATGAAAAAGTAAATCGGTCCCGGGACTAAGTCTTACCATGAGACCTACGGTAATAGCTTATTCCCTATAGGGAAATTCGCTAAAGCCAAGTAGGCCTAGTGTATTTTTTATAATTTTTAGTTATGTTTTATACATATTCAGTATGGCATTGTAAAGTGATGGACTTTTTTTTTAAATGGAACTATATATATTGTTGTTGATGTAAAACACTGTCAATGACTATTATAAATATTGTTATATTTTTTGGAGGAAAAAAAATATTCTTACTCTTATTCTATATGGAAAATAAGCTAAAACATATTAATATACCTATTGGTATGCTATTGTGTATTATGGTAATCAAACCCATAAGAAAAATATAATGGGAAATTTGCGCAAAGTATGTATGCTGCAATCAAGAAACTTTTCCGTTAATGCATTAACATTCCTTTTATTGTGTAGCAAAAAGTATCACAACAACTTTTAGTATCACAACACAAAAACTATTTCTAAAAATTCATGACTTACCAGTATTGCTGGTTTTTAATGATGCAGGAAAACAAAAAGTCCAGGATGAAAATAAAATGTTTATATTCTTGGAATATTAACAGATTCAAGTGATCAAAAATTACAGTGTTATAACTGCAAAAGCTGGTACTATAGATTGAATTAATACTTGAGGCCAAAAGTATTTTCGGCCTAACATTCAATCAAACATTAGTCTGTGCTATAACACTCATCGTGTACGGAGGTGAAGTTACGGAACTTTGCAGTGACATTCAACAACATTGGGAACGAGCAGGACGTGTTTGGACACCCTGTGGTGTTCACTGCTACAGGCTGGAGATCAGGTGACAGTCCGTCTATGTACAACACTTGGACGTAGTAGTTGGCTGACGAGTCTTGATGCAACTCCCAAATCATCGCAGATCCTGGGTTGATCAGTCCATTGATGTCATCCCAAGGAATCCCCAGTATAGCTTGTAGAGCCACAATAGTCATATCATGAGCTGAGTAGTAGTACATCTTGTAGTCCGGAGTCAATGTGCTGTTTATCTTTTCCTCCATCAAGCCGATCATTTGGATTATCAATTCGCCTGAGACGATTCTTGTGATGGTATCAGTGCCGGCTGACATCGCAATGAACAATTGTCCAATTATGTAGCTCAATGGTTCTGGATACACTGGTTTTGTCCACTCAGGTAAAACAAAACCTTCTATTTTATCTGTTGAGAGCGAGTCCCAAACATTGTAAAGGTAGTGAGGCGCAGATGCGTTGCCTCCACTGTACTCATTTAGGTAATCTGAAACGTTTTTGACAATGTCCATATTTGTCTCGTAAACTTTCGAAGATGTTTTTGTAATCTCACTTACGTAACGTGGACAAGGATAATGACCTATCTGAGACCCATCAGGGGAGTCGGTATAAATCGGGATTGGCTGCCAAGCAATGTCTTTGTTCCAAATTTGATTTCCTAATGGAGGATACAGTCCTGCAAGAAAAGCTTCTCCACTCACTAAAGTTCGTTCAAGCGCTGTACTTGTCGCATAAAAATCATTGCTAGAATAAGTGTTGTTAATAAATCCTTTGTAGAGTGATCGGACTTTCTGCCCCAAATTGTACATTTCGAGTTTACCTTCTTTTGTAATCTCTCCTAATTCACAGCCCCAGTCTATATCCGGATACGGTTCCTTAGGAAAGGAGAAAAGTGGTCTGCGATTCCCATGGCGGGTAATGACTACTACAAACCTAAGGGAAGGCACAGCTCTGGCTCCTGATGACGGTGTGTTGTCCGGCACATTTGTGTTCAGCGAGTTATAAACAGCGTAAGCAATTATACCACACAGAACCAACAATGTAAACACATAAACACCACAACGTTGAGCACTGCATGAGACCATGTTTTATTTTGACTTCCTGAGTCTTGTTTGACAAAGTTTGATAACTCTGTTTTATGACAGGCAGATATGATTATCTACAAATGAGAAGTGTCGAGTCAGAGTCATTCATACCCTTCCCAACAAATTCAAGCACTCCAAACTGTCACTAATCAGAATCAAACATGTAACTACTCTTGTTAAAAATACTATTGTAGTTACTTACTGATTATTACTGATTACAGGTATTGACTATTCTATGAAAGTATTGCAAATGAATTTTGATGTAGTTCATGCCAACAGAAAACAAATTTTTCGCATAGTTTGTCCAAAAACCACTGTTGGAAACAGTTTAATATTGGTTTTGTCTGACTTATATTTTTGACAGATATGCAGAATATTAATGAACATCTTTTACTTAACCCAATATTTATTTATTCATTCATACAGTAAACACCATTTTTACAATCAATAAATATATGAGTGGCAAGTTTCAAGATAAATATATGGATATCAGAAAAAAAAAACACTTTTCAGCTGTTGGAGTACAAGCATTCAATTCCCATTCAATAGTTATAATATACAGTACTAGGTAACGGGAAGTGGGAGAATTAGTGATGAGTGAGTGAGTCAGTGAGGGCTTTGCCTTTTGTATAGATTTTTGTAAACAATTTGAAAAATCTCTAGGCTACCTAAATGTCAATATAAATCCATAAGTAGTTATAAACTAAGTTTCTGATTGTGTTGAATTATGGTGATGTGAAATACAATTTTTATTACTCAATTTAATAAAACTAACCACTAAGTGGTAACAATTTTTATCATGCATTATCTTACTAATATTATAAATGTGAAGGTTTGTTTGTTTGTTTGAAGTTCCATCACGCATTAACTACTGGACGGATTGGGCTAAAATTTGGCATGATGATAGCTCACATTCCCAATTAACATATAGGCATATTCTTATCTCAAAAATCCTTTCAGGCTCCGCCCCAGTGGCTCAGTAGTTCCCCATGTTAATCTTATGAGTATTCATAATTAAAGGGAAATAAAGAATTTAGTCAGCTGTTTCAACTAAAAAAGTTGTTTTCTATGATATGAAAAAGCATTAAAAAGTTGTATGATTTACCATCAGGGTGCAGGACTATAATTTTTTTGCATTTATGAAAACAGCTAATTTAAACTAAGCAGCAACAAAAAACTGTGATACGCAATGAGAACTGTCAAAGTATGGTTGTTTACAGTTATCTTTATTATTTTAGTTTTATGAATAATATTTGTGATATTTTGCGAATTTTTAATAATTTTTTTCTCTATAGTTTAAGTGAAGTGGTAGAACATTAGATGTGTAATACTAGTATAACGTAAATTTAAAGAAGCAAATTTTATCAAACTGTGTCCTCCCTTATTGCAAACGCGAAGCTTGAGCATAACTGCAATAAGCATTTTATACTTATAATCCGACCCCGTACGAAGGACGGGAACTCTGCTAGTTTTATTATATTCATGTTTTAGTAAAAATTAGTGGTCGCCTTACTGTGCAAACTTTTCTATTTCCACCCCACACTGTAAATAAAACATGTGATTGGAATTTCTTCCAATTATTTTGATTTTCTGTTTATATTCCATTGTTATTTCTCACCAGCATGGCAACCCATAAGGCCCATATCAATGTTATTTTTAATTTAAATTTATTTTTTGTGCTTTTTTTAACCTTTTTTAATGTATAAGAGGATTCTGCACATCTACAGGCAAATATATTCCTAACAGTATACGTAGATTTTCCCTGTGATGTATAATACGCACATAGTGGTGTCCCCATCTTAAATAATTGATAATAATAATTGATAATGAGCTGAGAAAAAAGGTTTTAAAGAAGCATGCTTGCCTACTAATATATAGATGATAAATTTTCATATTATATAACAGCACCTAATATTTAAAACATCTCATTAAATGGTCTCTTAGCTGGATTATTTGGATATCTACATCTTAGACATGATTCAATATTTTAAGAGAATTGAATTTAAATATTAGTTATTATTTAATAGTTTGGGACCAATTTTATGAAGTTATCTTATCTGCTTTTACAACCTGCTTATCAAGGGAAACCGATCAATTGATTTTGCCTTGCTCTAAAATTACTCCTCTTGCTGAATCTGTTCTCCATTCGCCCACTAAAATAAATAAATATAAATATATATATATATATATATATATATATAAATATATAAAATAGTCAATCAATCAATCACTAGTGTTTATTTACCACTTATCTTTATCATTTAGATAATCTATTTTTACTGTTTGACAATGTTATGAAGGTAAATATAAACAGAAATAGGCATGAGCTAATTTGTATGGGTTTTTAGCACAGTGTGTGTTTATTTCACAGTAAACATGACCTTAAACATCTTGTATTTAAGTTTATATAACCTATTTGCGTTTACTTATACAGTAATGTTTAAAAAAAACTTTGATAGGAAAAAATAATACTTTGAAAATAACTGATTGAGTTCCCTTATTTTTTAGTCTGAATTTTCATGTTGTGGTGAAAAGTGAAAAGTGTCATTCATAACTTTAATTGAAAGTTATTTTCTGTACTTTCTCCAATTTCCTCCATCCTCAGCTTCACCTGTGCGAAATTTACTCTCTCATGCATGCTTTGCCTCGCACATGAAATTTAGTGTTCTATGTTCTTGTCAGCTTTGCCTCATAGACATGAAACTTGAGTGTATGTATAAGAACAAAAACTCACAGATTTACGATTAATCTAAATTTATTTAATGTTTCTCATCAACTAGATGTATGAGAATGTAGATGGATGGCAGTTGAGATTCGTTGTGCTAAATCATCACCCACAATCTTCAAATGTGCAAGCACTCTGTCCTATAATGATAGTTTTTGTTATACTTCTCAAAATTTAATATACAGCTTATGTACTAATGAAATCACTTACAGTTTTTACTTGGGGTCATAGAACCAGCAGACTCAAAAAAAGCTCAAGAGATCTATCTCTAGATAAATTCCCGAAATCTCAAAATTATTTTTAAGAAAAATAAAAAAATAAAAATTTGTATACTAATGGTACTTAATGTTTTATTGCTTTTTCAGTCAATCACAAAATTGTTAGGAAATGGAACTAGAGCAACTGTACATGATAATTCATGGTAGGTTTCAGTTCCATTACCTCAAGTTCATTTCATTAATGTAGTCGCACAGCTTACTAATGTATTTAACAGGATTTACAAGTTAGCCAATATAATAATTTTGTATTCCAGCGAACTTCCCATATAGGGAATAAGTTATTATCGTAGGTCTCATGATGGGACCTAGACCCGGGACCGATTTACTTTTTTGTTTTAAGGTCCCCAGAGGCCAAAAACACCCTAAATTCAAATTCATATGTGTCTGTTAGTGTGACAACTCGAGCAAAAATGATCCACTTTTGATGAAATTTGATGCAAACATGTAAACCTACGTTCATTCGAACAAAATCACGAACTAGCATAGGATTGGGGGTTTATGTAAGGTTTTATAGGGTAAAAATTAGTTTGTCCTATTTTTAACCCTAAAAACATAACATTTCACAATTTATTTTCAAACCATTTTGTAGAGCTTAAAAAAAGAAATAATTTTGTAAATTGAAGGGTTGTAGTTTGCCTAACTAAGGGTTACGAAGATAGTAATTTTAAAAAATTGTAAATTTAAAATCCTAATGTTTTTCTTTTAGAGGATAAATATACTGTTGTACTGTAGTTTGCTTGTTTATGGATATATTTTAATCAAATTTGGCAGTTTTTTTATTTTATATTAAGCTTTCAACATTTCAATGAAAAAAAACACTTCAATACCATCAACCAGCAACCAAGTATTTATTAAAATTAATTTTTTTTTTAATAAGAAATAAATCTGACAATTTTTAGGGAATATTTTAGTAAAAATCCTGCCAGGTAAATGGAAATCTGCTTAGTCTGCAGGTTTGCTGCGGCGGGAATATTTTTAATTATTGTAGTCATCACAGTAAAAATAAGAGAGAAAAATGAATTTTACTCTTTAGCCGGGTGGTTCATTCAACTATGTTTTTTAGCGAATTTCCCATATAGGGAATATTTAGCAAATTTCCCATATAGGGAATATTTAGCGAATTTCCCATATAGGGAATATTTAGCGAATTTCCCATATAGGGAATATTTAGCAAATTTCCCATATAGGGAATATTTAGCAAATTTCCCATATAGGGAATATTTAGCAAATTTCCCATATAGGGAATAAGCTATTACCGTAGTACTCATGGTAAGACCTGGACCCGAGACCGATCTAATTTTTCATTTTGAGGTCCCTAGAGGCCAAAAACACCATCCGTTCAAATTCATATATATATATATATATATTTATATATATATATATGTGTCCGTTAGCGCGATAACTCGAGCAAAAATGATCCGATTTTGATGAAATTTGGTAAAAACGTGTAAACCTACGTTTATTCGAACGAGTTCGCGATCCAGCATATTCAGACCATGGGAACGGGAGATTATGGGGGGTTTTATGGGGTAAAAATGGGTTTTTCCCATTTTTGAACCAAAAAACAAAAAATTTTGTGATTTCTTTCTAAAACGTTTTGTAGAGCTTAAAAAAAAAGAAATAATTTAGTATATTGAAGCGCTGTTGTATGCCTAACGGTCACGGAGAAAATTCAAAAATAGTGTAATTAAAAATTCCCATGTTATTCTTAAGGAGAAAATGAAAATTGTTGTAGTTTACTTGTTTATGGGTATATATTGATAAAATTTGGCAAATTTATTTATTTCATCCTATACTATTGATGTATGGTCAAAAAACACTTTTTACCTTCCCCGTAGCAGCAAACCTAAGCACTTGTTAAATCTAATGTTATTTAAATAGGGAATAATATGTCTTATTTATGGAAATATTTTAGTAAAAATGTAATCAGACAAGTTGAAATTTGCTTAGTCTGCAGGTTTGCTGCGGCGGGGGTATTTTTTATTGCTGCAGCTGGTCCATAGCAAGAGATTTCTACTTCAGTATCCAAAAGTCAATGGTAAAACAATTACCTGGATAACTTTATTGGCATTTCTTAGATGAATTGACATATTCTCTACCAAACGTACTCGCTGTTCCTCATTGAGAAAGTTATTCCAAAACAATGTCACTTGTCCATAGTTGTCATGGTCATCAGCATTGTATCTTGGAAAAATAATAAGAAATTGAATTTTAAACTGGTTTTTACTATGCTAAATAAGAAATGCAATAAGGTTGTGTTGTAATTATTTTACAAATAGATGTTGCATTTATTCATGATCCCTCCATAACTCAAAACCATAGATTGATTTTTCATATAAATTGTATAATATATTTCTTTATTGCATCTTCATTCGGCTAAGACAATTTTATTGGTTAAAAAATGTGTCAAATAATATACAGTAGTTTCAAAAAGTTGTACAAGTTGATGATTGGGCCTAGGCCTTCTTAAATTTATTGTCGATGACTACACTGAAGTCCCGCTTATCCAACCATCCAGCTAATCAGAAGTAACTTATGGAAAAAGGATTACTGTAAAATTAAATACAAAGCTACGCGTTCTGAAATCAAAGGTGACTGTGAAATCAGGAATTGTACATGCATTTCTTGTGCAACAGGGGGAAATACAGAATGTATGGAAATATGGAGTGGTCAATAGCATATTGCCGAGGGTCCTTTCATAAACGGCAATCCATTGGATTTCTTTTTGAGTCATCATGTAGTACAATGAAGGTGGTCGCAGGAGATGATTAAGGGTTTTTGCTACGATCGCAGTAGAAAACAATGAATGATTCCGCCATTGCGGAAGACAGTTATCTTGATTTCGGGAAATCAGAGAATGAGAGAGCAATATTTTACTTTTCACAGTAGTAAAAATGCATTGTTTTATCTTTTTTATGCAATTTTACAGCATTTTTGGTTAACCACAACCATTTGGCAATCCGAACAGTGTTTGGTCTCAGTTAGCTTGGATTGGCAGGACTGTGTATGTAGTAATATAGTTACTACATAAACCAAGTATTTTCAGATACATCAATATTTTTTAGAAACATGAACTGGTGTCTAATAACAGGCTGATTTTATAAAACAAAAAGCAATAAAATCAGGGGAGTACCAACCTAGCAACATCCCCGTAGATGGTCCACCTGGTGTTCTTAGCTTGAGGACAAACTTTAAGGTGGTTTTGGAAACTATTAGGGTAGTAGTTTGGGGCAGCTCCTGGGTGGTGGTGGCACATCCTGCCATCTCTTTGCGTGTTGGCGACCTTGACTAGGTACGGGGCATTGACCCGAAGTTGCTGATAGTTGACACCGAGGCGATATCTTTGTGCGTCAGGGTAGGCAAATAAACGACCCTAAAAATGTTATCTCAGGGATTATTTTGGACGTTTTCCCTGACATTATTGGGAACGTATTCACGAATTTTTAGGAACTGGAATCTGATCCCCTCAGGTAAGAAAGTACCTAAAACATTTTAATATACAAACTCAGTCAAAACTGTAAAATCACAAAACAAAAACCCACACGTTAAAACAAAACATATGATTAATACAAATGGAGGAACTTGTCTGCACAACACGGGGGTACGTTATGAATAAAGAATTGATTGATTTATCAATATAAACTCAGTTAGCTACATGTGTAATTGTATGTGATACATTTTCACAACTCCCTTAGTTCCTATCTAATGAACTGTTAAATTATTTTTTCTCGTACAGTTTTTTTTCATTAAGTAAATTTTCAAAATTTACTTTTCATAATTTCAAATGAGATAAAATAATAATGAGTAAATTTGCCTATTTGTATACATTTCTATTTTCTACTTTACCTGGAGCATTTTGTCCGGGCTCGGCTCAATGCCAGGAACCAAGTGTGAAGGGCTGAACGCAGATTGTTCTACCTCAGCAAAGTAGTTTGTAGGGTTGATATCAAGCAGAAGCTTTCCAATCTCATAGAATGGGTAATCCGTCTCAGGCCATATCTGTAAGGTTTTGTTTTGTTAACTGCTTGCTTGCTGCTACTAAAACACAATTAGGCCTAGTTTGATTTTGTCATTCTAAATTAATAACGCACCACATGATTGTGGTACTTGACGGAATCCACGTCATCCTAATCAAAAGACTGCACGGAACTTCCAATGAGTTGCAAAGACTGAATCATTACTTTTTTAATTTGACTCGATAACAAACGCACGATGCTCAGGTGACCACAGATAATTGCATCGTGTAGGCTCTCCAACGAGCCTAACACCACCACTCTCAGAGGACCTGTCACTGAGCAGTGCGCTGCAGAAAATATAGATCGTTTTTTTGCCGCACCCGGAACATTCATAGGACTTAACCCACCTTAGTCACGTCAAATGGGTTCCATTCAAATTCAATGGCTTGTTCGAACGTCATAAGCTGGTAATACATAGTCCAGGAGGGAAAGTGTTTGTTGGCAATGGCGTAGTAAAGATCTCTTATTGAATAGTCTGGATCTCTTGCACACAACGCCAGCGCAACTTCAGCATCCAAATTCCTCACTCCTCCGTCGGTCTGTAAGTTCAGGTAACAGTTAAACACTGTTAAATGTTCAGATAACAAGTAGAAGTTGTATTGCTGCTCAACTGGTGCCAATAACATTTGTTACTACCTACCAAATACGCCAGAAAAAAGTTTGTTATTGTTTTCGAAAAATCACTGTCCTAAAAATTGTAAAAAAAATCAGTAAGTACAAACCCTTAACTAGGGCTAGGGCTAGCAAAGACACCTATTTTAATTTGTATTATTTGCCAAATACAGTAAATTTTCAATAAAAAAAAACTGGCAATATAAGATAAAATATCACCACGTTACAATTATTGTTGTTTTATTAGTTCAACCTCCATAACTTTATTCTTCGTATGCTGATGTAACTAGGGCGTAAAGATCATTATTTGTATCTCCAGACATGTCGGCGGCGTTGTACAAATCTAATCTAATCTACTATTGAGACAAAATAATTCTGAAACCAGCTCATGACAAACCCTAAAGTGGAATTTCGTGTAGAATGGTTGGCCGTCCCTCTTGACCACTTTAAACGTGTGAGAGCCGTGCAGGTTCATATGACGGTAGCCGTCCGGAGTGCCTCGGTCAGAGAACAGATACATCATCTGATGCAGCGTCTCCGGACGGTTGGCGACAAAATCCCAGAACATGTTGAAATCCTGAATCAAACATTGCATTCGCTAAAAAATATACATTTTTTGTAACCGTTGAATACATTTTAACTCAAATACTGTACTACTTTTTCAATATTGCGAAAATTATAGTTATTTTTTAATGTTAGAAAATTTATAAACATGTGAGGATGAACAATTGTCATTTGAAAATGCAGATAGATTCCTCAAGAAAGAATTGGAAAGAAATTCAGTGTGTGCTACTGTAATAAGTACTTACATGCAGATGGGTTGCTGGGTGCCGCTTTTGTGAGTGTACAAAACTAGGAAAAAGAATTGGATCTCGAATGAAGAAGACAGGCGAGTTGCTGCCTACGAGATCCCAGTTGCCGTCATCCGTGTAAAACTTGATAGCAACACCTCTGAGGTCTCTAGATAAAATTAAGTGAAAAAGTATTCTTTTGAGAAATAACACTGCATTGTTGTTGTTCAATGGATTATCGCAGACATTTTCTTTCGCAATTATAAAATACCCCCGCTGCAGCAAACCTGCAGACTAAGCAAATTTATATTTACCTGGCTGGATTTCTACTAAAATATTCCCTTAAAATGTTCAGTATTTTTTCCTGTTTAAATAACACCGATTTTTAATGAGTACTTAGGTTTGCTGATTCAGGGAAGGTATTGAGGTGTGTTTTTTTATTGAAATGTTGATAGCTTAGTATGAAATTAAAAAATGTTAAAATATGATTAAAATATATCCATAAACATGCAAACTACAAAAGTGTATTTATTCTCCATAATAATGACATAGGAATTTTAAATTTACAATTTTTTTAATTATCTCCGTAACCGTTAGGCATACAACAACGCTTCAACATACAAAATTATTGATTTTTTAAGCTCTAAAAATGATTTGGAAAGAATTTGTGAAATTTTATTTTTTTTAGCGTCAAAAATGGGAAAACCCAATTTTTACCTCATAACTAGGGCCTACCTGTTCCCATAGTCCGATCATGCTGGTTCACAAACTCGTCCGAATGGTAAGATCTAGACCCGGGACCAATTTACCTTTTCGATTTGAGGCCAAAAAGACCCTCCGTTCAAATTCATTTATATATATATAAATATAAATATATATCAGTTAGCCACATATGATCCGTTACCAGCATGATCAGACCATGGGAACAGGGATTTATGGGGGGTTTTAAGGGGTAAAAATTGGTTTTTCCCATTTTTTATGGATATATTTTATTAAAATTTTGCCATTATATTTATTTTATACTAAGCTATCAACATTTCAATAAAAAAAACACACCTCAATACATTCCCTGTAGCAGCAAACCTAAGTACTCATTAAAATTAGTTATTTAAATAGGAAATAAATCTAAAGGGAATATTTTAGTCGAAATCCAGCCAGGTAAATGGAAATTCTCTTAGTCTGCGGGTTTACTGCGGCGCGGGTATTTAATTAATATTTGTGTTAAAAATAATCTTTAGTTTTGAAATTTTGTCATATATATCCATATATAAATCCCAAAGTACCCATGAACTGAGAAAACTATAAGTCACACCCCCATAAACCATACTTAAAATGTTCGTCTTGACGAGAAACCTTGCACAAAACTATCCATTATTTCATAAATTGCCCTTTAAGGTCGTAATTCCTTTCTAAAGGGAACTTTCCATATACCTAATGCTAATCATACCTCAGCTGTATACTTATTTGTTTTCCTACAGTCACCCGACAAAGTTGGCTTCCTTGTACTGTTTATAGTACAGAAAGCTGCTAATTGCTGCATATTTATACTTTGTCGTACTGGATTCCAACGAAACAACACAAAACAGCGTGGTTCTATTATGCACGTAATCCGTGTACGCTTGGAAATAGGTTGGCAACACTTAAATATAATAATACTATGAGCAGCTGATCTGACTACGATTTAACCTGTCATTTCGTGTTTATAGTTTATGTTCTCTTTTCGGTATTTCTGAACTTTTCTTTTAAACATTTTTAAAATATTCCTACGATCTTAATAAACAAGAAAATACCTTTAAAGCATTTTTTTAGGCGCGGAAACCACTGCAAATTACAAAAATATACGGAACTATTTTCTCAAGTCGCGGAGCACATTGCTTGCCGAGGAAAAAATAGCGGAGTGATACGGACCGGGGACTACTTTCTCTAGGACACCTATTTGTTGCCAGCTGAACCTAAAAACGTGTTGTATAGTGTTTGAAAGACTAATTATTTATATGCTTTACTTTATTATAGTGACGTGTAACACGAGTGCAAAAGGCGTTTGCTGCACTACTTTGCTCACTATTTACAAAAATAACTGTTGTTATTCTTTCAATTTATTACCTTATTAAAATCAGGTGTGATTATTTGTTTGTATTACTGTATTCTGTTTTGTTTATTTCAGCTAAACTTAACGAATGAATAGTTTTATTAATACTTATGAAATCAAATGGAGTGAAGCCCGTGGGTAACAGCTGGTATAATTAATTATGGTTTCGGGATTTGGAATCCGACCCTATCCTCAGGTGAGAAAGTACGAGATTACACAAACCAAGCCAAAGCTGGAAAATCACAAACGAAAAACTTCTTGCACAAAGAACTGCATAGTGGATCCAAAACGAGAAACAAATTCTGAAAGAAAATTAGAGAGTATAAATAGCCATAATGATCCTTAGACGGTCTATATAGAACAGACCAACAGCTTGTTTTTTTTTTTTTTTATTTGTTTATTCTATTTGAACATATTTAAAAATATATTACAACGGTTTGAATTATTTTTACTATAATAATTTACCTGACTGTATCGCAAGAGCCAGATTCCTGTACGAAAGTAGAAAATCTGACAAACACATGAGTCTTTTTACCCACTCCTTGGAACAAAGAAGCCACAGAGAAATTAGAGAAAGAGGCATTGGTAACAATGAAGTGACCGTAAGCTCCTGTAACAAATCAACAACACAGCTGGTTAAATTTACGACACTTAATTTCCTCTTACACTGAGTTTGGTCTACAATGTTAATCAAAATACATTGTTATAATATTGTACAGCTGGATTCAGAGAGGTCACAGTGCTCGCCTGGTAATCATAATCTTGCACCTTTATAAGAGTAGCTTTTTGATGGTTTAAAACTGACTCGATCACCCTTCATTTATTATATACAGTCACAGCTAACAAAAACAACTGGCATTAGTCAGTTTAAAACATCAAAACTCAACTTAACTCTCATCTTTCTATCATATTATCAAGAATTGAAATACCCACAATTTGTTCCTGTCTCAAGTCCCAATGTAATGATCATATACAATACTACAAGTCTGTACATCTGAATCATTAAAATGTATTTTCCAGTAAACAATATAGGTAGCAAGAAAAGTTTTAGAAATAACATAATTATTGCTAGAGCATTTTTTAAATCATAAGATTTTGTTAATGTTTCTTCAGAAACGCCTTCCAAACTATGTATCACCTGCTCCCTTGGCATGAGTGACTCTCTCCGGGATCCTCTCCCTGGTGAAATGTGCAAGTTCATCCAGGAGGACAAAGTCCTGGAGAACCAGAGGTCCCACAGGACCCACAGATAGGGAAGATATCTTGTCATCTACTGGCGCACCATTACTGGTGGTCAGCAGAGGAAGTATCTATAACAAACAATCAAACAATGCCTTTTCAATAAGCCAGTAAAATTAAGAATTCCAGTGGCAATTCTAAATTATACGTGACAGCAGTTAGAAACCCTCCAAAATTATTGTTGGATATGCCAAGAATTGTCTCAGACCTTGGAATAAGATGGGTTGAAATGCACATAAGTGGACTTCAAAACTTCATTCGGTCTTCTGATTTTACAAATAAGATAAAAAGTTTACTTGCAGTATCCAAAGTCAAACTGCTGAAACTTTTGACTATATTTATCTTCTACTTAATGTACCTATATTGCCAGTGGTGATTGGTGAAACCACAGAACATAACCTGAAGAGTAGCTTTAGTTCCGTAGTTAAAATTATGAGTTTGAAATGCACTCTTTCTTATAATATCCCGTTTTTCTATTGATGATATCACTCTGTAAACTTTCTCAAAACTATGAATTGTTCATACTCACATTGTAACATACTGAAGTTGTACCTCTATGTGTTTCTGAAGGGGTCTGAAACTAAAATCTTATCAAACAAATTTGAATAATTGATTTTTTTATAGTTAATGTGTAGTAAAGATAGCTTTCACAAAAAAGGAAGATTATTGATTTATTTGAGTATATAGAAGTTATTAAATGAAAATATGTTTCAAAACATGTATGTATAGTAATTATCATTTTGTCGAGATAGGCCTTGATCTCATCATAAGGCCTCGGGTAGGTACGATAGGAGCAGTGAGCGGCAGTAAGGGGAGGGGGTGGTGGCTACAATACAAGCGGCACATCTATAACGCTCATCAAATTTCCTTGGTTGTAGGAGTCAAAATGGCAAACTGTGCTTACTCGCAAAACGTATTGCAACTATTGTTGCTCTGACAATTGTTCGCCTTTAAAGAAAAACTTAGGTTTTTAGAAAAATACTTAGCCCTTACTTCATCCCATACTTTTCTGGTGGCTGAAGTTTTTTTAAAACCTCAGTGCTGGTCATTCCACAAACATTCCCTGGACTGCAATTCACGTATCGCACGTTTTCTGCTGTTCCTCTGTCATTTTAGGCTGAACTGAAGCATGACTCGCCTGAGCGGCGTTTACGCGAAAATCTGTTTTGACCCGGACCCATGAGCGGTGCTGAGTGGCATCACTTACCATCTCAGACTTATCATGGCCCCCTCAATAAATTTACACGCAATTAAATAAGACCCTATGTCAGAACGGCGCCGCTTATCGTACCTGGGGCCTAAAGGATAATATAAATATTTTTTTGAGAAGAGGCTGTTTTCTTTGCTAATAACAATATTCAGAGTTGAGAGCATCATCTTACATTTTGTTAAAAATATATAATTTATCAATTTTTTTTTAAATGATTATTTTAAAAACTTTTTAAGGAAATCCGTTTATGAGGGGGCGGATCCAGGAATTTAGTTTGGGGAGGGGCACTGCCTAGCCAATGCTCCATATATCTTGATTCGCTGGAGAAAATTTGATTCTCGGGTGTTCAAAACCCCATTTTTCTGCCATTTTAAAAATATAAATCATATGGAAGCTCAATTTCTTCTCTATCTTATCTTACTATCCTACTAATATTATAAATGAGAAAGTTTGGATGTATGGATGTATGGATGTATCGTATGTTTGTGACAAGTGAACGCGAAAAATACTGGTCGGATTGGGCTGAAATTTGGCATGATGATAGCTCACATTCCCGATTAACATATAGGCATATTATTATTTCAAAAATCCTTTCGGGCTCCGCCCCAGTGGCTCTGGAGTTTCCCATGTTAACCTTATGAGAAATGGAATTATTGAATCTTAACAGCTGTTTCAATTAAACAAGTTGGTTCTGTTCTATGATGTTCAATAGCATTAAAGTTACAAGGATTACCAACAGGGTGCAGCACTATTATTTCTTTTACATTTATGACAACAGCTAATTTGCAACCAAAAGGTGAGTGAGCGTAGCGAACGAGCTAACCTGAAGGCAAGTGAGCGCAGCGAACGAGCTCCAACCTAAAGGTGAGTGGCGTAGCGAACGAGCTCCAACCTAAAGGTGAGTGAGCGTAGCGAACAAACTTCAACCAGACGTGATTGAGCCATGCGAACGATATAATCTTGAAAATTAAGAAGTTAAACGGGGCAAAGCCCGCGGGTTACAGCTAGTAATATTATAAATATGAAAGTTTGTGAGTTTGTGTGTATGTTTGTGTGTGTGTGTGTGTGTTGCTCAATCACGCATAAACTACTGGACGGATTGGGCTGAAATTTGGCATGATGATAGCTCACATTCCCGATTAACATTAAAGCATATTCTTATCTCAAAAACCCTTTCGGGCTCCGCCCCAGTGGCTCTTTAGTTCCCCATGTTAATCTTATGATTTTTCATATTTAAAAGTAATTAATGAATCTTAACAGCTGTTTCAATTAAACAAATTGGTTCTGTTCTATGATGTTCAATAGCATAAAAGTTACAAGGATTACCAACAGGGTGCAGCACTATTATTTTTTTTTTAATTTATGACAACAGCTAATTTGCAACCAAAAGGTGAGTGAGCGTACCGGTAGCGAACGAACTTCAACCTGGAGGTTAGGTAGCGAACGAGCTAACCTGAAGGCAAGTGAGCGCAGCGAACGAGCTCTAACCTAAAGGTGAGTGAGCGTAGCGAACGAACTTCAACCAGGACGTGAATGAGCCATGCGAATACTTATGAAGTTAAACAGGGCGAAGCCCGCGGGTACAGCTAGTTTTATCATATTTTGGCAAGATTAAAAACCATAGCCTCAAAGGTACAGTACATAAAACTACCACTACTACCTCAGACAAACAAGAATCCCACACTGGCCTGGCCTTGGCCGGCAAAAATCAACATATATTTTTTACAATTATTGATTGTAGTTTTGTCAATTGTGATCAAGCTATCATAAGGATTTTGTGTACTTTTATGTTGAACTAAAGTTTATACTATTAAATGTCCAAATAATGAAATAGATATTAAAACAACGGCATTATTTTGTTTGGTTTTCAACTAGGTAGTTTAATAGATTTATCAATTTTTATAGACATATAAGAAAGCTCTTGGGGCACTTTGGCACATACCCCCTGTGACCCCCCTGCCCCCCTTAAATCCTATATATCTAAATAAGAAATACTCTCAGGACAATTTATTTGGCTTAAAAAATATAGTTTAAATTTTTTTAGTATTTTAATATTATGGGTTAGATAATATTTCAAAGTAACTTTTGAATCATATTTTTAATCAATCCGTTTTCAGATTTAATATACACCATGTATTACAGCTTTTATTCTGATTCCAATAACTACTTTTCATTTAGCTAAATAATGGGTAGGAAATGATTGATAATCAAAGAAAAAAATTTACAAGAGATCAAAAAGCGCACAAAGGAACTGCATCACCACTAAAAATTTTTATTTACTCTATTTGAGCAAACAGAAGCTTAATTTGAAATGATTAACTGGCACAAATAAAATATTAAATACATTTTACCACAGCCAACAAAATGATAAGTGTCAAAAACAAGTCATTTGAAACCATCATAAGTAACACTATACCAGATTAAAAACAACTTGCACATCCAAAGCTATATAAGCATCATAATTTTCACATGTTCACAGGGTACACCTTCCATTTGAAAAAAAAAAACTCCCTTAAACAATCCTCATAATAATTGTGATGATTGTTCTCAACAATCAAGTGTTAATTAGGATAGTAACTGTTTGCAAAGACAACAAACTGCCAATTATCTTTATTCAGGGGTCTCTGACCTAAAACAAATTTGTCTGGCTTGGAGAAAGCTAGCATATAGGCCTACTAAAAAAATGTTTTTTCATTTGCTAATATATTTTCTCATAAACATTTGTACCATTAAATATGTGGAAAGTGCTCATCTCTGACTTTGTCTGTTATTTTCTCAATAAAAACATTAACCTACAAACATTTTAAGGTTCACTCACAGATAAACACAAATTTGAAGCATAAAACTTTGTTGAGCTATGCTTTTTTTAGGATCAAAATTCTTAATGTTTTGGTGGCTGGGGTTCTTCTATACTAGGAAATCCGCTCTTATTAGATTGCCATATGGAGGTATAGAAATAGAATGTACTAGCTGTGTGAGTGAAAATTTAAAAACGTACGTTTTCATGTCCCTGGCCTTTTACTTCATAGATACTGGATTTGTAGTTTATTATTATGTGTTTTTATATTTTTTGGGATGGGGGCAACATGTTACACACATTTATTTAGTTTTAAATAGGTTCTAGGTATTTTTTTCGTATTTTTAAAGTCTCGAAATTCACGACCATGACGTGTCCCTAGGGTACATTTTCCAACTTTCACACTGTTTTTAGACTAATTATTAATGCCGAAATATATAAAGCCATATTTTTATGTCATCAATGGTTATTAAACTTACAAAAAAGGAGCATATTATAATTTTATTGTCATTGCAAACTGACTACCATGACAAAATAAGTCTGTCCCTCGATTTGGCGTCACGACCATTTGGGAAAAATTTTCAACTTTGGAGCACGACAGTGGCAAGCCTGGAGTCGATGGAGTCAGTTGGTTTTAGAGACTAGTTCGGGGTGTACGTCAGGTTTGTAGTGCCGGTCGTATCGAGTTGAAAGGAGTAATTACAAGATTAATAAAGGAAAGATTGTGTTTTTTGTAATTTTGGTGTGTCCATGACCGTACATAGTCATTCGATGAAGTAGACATGGTGTTAATTTTTGTTTAAAAGATATTTCAATTGCTAGATTAACCTAGAAGTCCACTTTGTATCCTCGAACATGAGGTGCAGGGCTACCGCCAGAACAGAGCCAAATAACACGTAATTTCACGACCAAAGTTTCACGACCATAGCGGGTTTTTTCACGACCAATCCAGCCTTATGGATTATAGTGTGTTTGGTCGTGACAATAACTTTAATATAATTGTAAATTGAACAGTTTAGTTCAATTGAAACACATATTTTTGTTATAACTAACAGTATAATTGAAGGATTGTTTAGAAAGATTTAGATTATTTCAGACAATTCACGACCGTACCGCTTGTCCCTGACCATCACGTTTATGATTTCTATCATACAAATTTCAAAAATTAAAATATCGTCATATTTCAATGTTTTATACACAAAAGAAGCACACCTATATACAAACATAACGATTTTTCGGGTCTCAGGTAAGTTTTTCGGAGTTATACAAACTTAAAAAGATTTTATTGACTTTTTTTCAATTTTTTGAGTTTTTTATTTTTTTCTAGAAAGACCAAATATACCAAAAGCTCAGTGACCTTTTTATTGTATAATGGTCATAAGAGTAAATTAGTTTATAGCAAAACATAGTTATAAAAATAATATTAACTATTTTTAATATTCATTTAAACGTCCGTTATGGTCGTGACAGGATTTTGTGTTTTCCACTAAAGATGCTCTTGTTAAAAAAAACTGCCAAAGATATTGCATTACCATGGACATTTTATGAAACTTCAAATGTTAATGAAATAAAAAAACTAATAAAAGTTTTGAAAAAAGGGGAAAAAATTTTGCAAAGTGCTTTTCCTGAAAACGTACGTTTTTAAATTTTCACTCACGTGCCCGTTCTACGCACGGGGATCTTATCGTAGTCAGTTGAAACCTTCTTATATTAAGAACAGTAGTTAGGAACAGAATGTGACACATTGGAAAAGCGAGTTTAGCATCATCCGTAAACCTCTGTTACAATCACCCACTGCAGTTGTGATTTTTTACTTTACACTTTACACAACCGCCATTGAAGCGCCGTCAATGAGTGGAAACCTTGTTTCTAAGCTATTGGTGACGATCATTAATAAATTTAAGTTTCCGAGCCGTGATGCAAGGTCTTCTTTCTGGTTATCAAAACTCAAGAACAATTTTATACACTAAGAATCTCTGGTTCCTGGCCTGGATGATGCCTAGTTATTTAATTTCATTTACGGTTACACTATATTATTGCACTTGCAATTAATTAAATCCGTTATGTAAGAAAAACGTTTTTAAACTCACTTGAATGAGTTCAAAACGTGATCGAAAATAGTTGTGGTATTTGTAAACAACATTTGTAAACATATCAGTGACAGCTAGAAAAAATAATCTTGATCCGAACATCTGTTCGTTATTTATCCATAGAGGATTATGTGATAAAAATTGGACAAGACTTGACAAAAATTGCACAAAACTGCATTTTTGAACGTCCGTGATTTTATTTACAAAGTAGTGAGACCATATTTTAATGGCTAAAGACACTCTCGCCAATCCAGTGAATACATTAAAATGACTTGGATCTTTATGGGTACTCTCGTTTTCCTGGAGAAGATAGCGTAAAATGCCACCTTGAGTGTTACAGACAGACAGAAAGACAGACAGACAGACAGAAATAGAGATAAGACTCGCTTCTGCTTCTTTAATCTATAAAACGTATAATAACCTAAAAATATATAATTCTGAGCAATGTACAGACAAAACTCTAATTTTATTTATATAGATTTGAAATCAAACCCAAATTAATACTTGACTTGACTTAGCAGGTATCAAATTTCCTAATGCTAACTGGGTTACCATCATACAAATCCAGAAAATGCAGATGATAAAAATAAAGCAATTATATGCAGAACGTGATGAAGTAGGATTTAAAAACACTAAATTATTTAAGAACATAGAATAATTAATAGTGTTAATAATATATTTTGGATACGGTACTGTACATCCAACCTTGGACAAATTAATGAACATTACAAAATGTTTACATTGTATGGTGGCTTACATTTTAAGAAAGAAAAGACTGGCGGAGACAGTAAAATTTTTACTCTTTGTTGCCATAAATTAATGGTTCGTAATAAAAGGGTTTTGCAAATAGTTTAAAGAAATCATCATATTTTTACATAAATAGTACTATAATCTAATACTCTATTAATTTTGCATGTTTTTCAAAAATAACTACCGTACTCTTATTTAGTTTTGTAGAATGAACACTTATTATTTTGCTTTAGTGTTGCATGTTTTAATGTTGTACTTATGACTGACCTGTGCATTTCAAGCTTCCGCGACAAGATCGATTGCATGTAATTGCCTAAGGATTAATAAATGGCTAATGTCTTATCATTCATCAAGGGAGTGTATTTTTAATCTATGGTACTAAGTTATTTGGTTTTATTTAGCATCGCTCCCGAGTGCCGATGGCTGAATTTTTATTTCAGGATTAGTGTTGCCTACAGTATTATTTTGAGGCTTCTGATTGGCTGAGGGAGCAATATTACCGCAACGATACGGTTAATGCCAACGGCTTCAGTGGTATAGTGGATAGAGTGCTGGGCTGATGATGATCCGAAGGACCTGGGTTCGAATCCCACCCGTAGCACTATTTTTTTGTATTGGATTTTTTTCATTATCAACAAGTTTGGTTGGTTTGGTTAGGTTATGACGATTTAATTTTATAATTAAAACATTATAAAATTGAATTTGACCCATTTATAGTTTTATTTTATGAACAGAAATATTTTTTTCAGTTAAACCTTCATTTGATTTTTTATTATCAGCAAGTATGGTTAGTTTGGTTAGGTTATGATAGTTTAATTGTATAATAAAATATTATAAAATAGGATTTGAGGCAATTATAATTTTATTTTATGAACAGAACTATTTTTTCGATTAACAAACCTTCATTAGATTTTTTCATTGTCAGCACGTTTGGTTGGTTTGGTTTGGTTATGACGGTTTAATTTCATAATAAAAAAATATTAAATTGAATTTGAGGCATTTATAATTTTATTCCATGAACAAAAATAATTTTTCAATTGCTAAGCCTTTGTTATAGTCAATCAGAAGCCTCTAAATTACGCTGTTGGCAAAATTAGTCCTGAAAAACAAATTGTGCGTCCCGATGGCAATTGTTGGCGGGAAAAGTTGAAAAGCTTTCTGCTACCGCTACCACCATTACCATTCCACTCCCATAGTTTTGTTTTTTCTTTTTGTTTACTTGAGGTTAACTTAGTTACTAACTTGTAAATTATTTTTCCTATAGAAAGTAAAACTTATTTGAACTATTATGTAAGTTACAGTATTTTTGTTTATAAAGACTATATTAAATTTAAAATATAAGTCATTAATTCATTGGACAGTGAGTTTAAAAAAAATAATGTTTAATCTTTGAAGATAATGTAGTAGGCCTGTAACAATAAATCTGTTGTACATTGATCAATACAATATTCTTTCTCACTAATACAACGCAATGGTAAGTTTGTTTACGTTGATCATATTTCATATATTTTACTTAGGTTACATATTTTACTGTCAATCCAGGTAATCCAAACTATTTGTAGTCTATTTTAAAAATTACAAAGGTTAATTAGTTAAAGATTATGTAGGCCTAACCTAAGTCTAACTTAGCTTACATTAAGTAAACTTAATTACTAAGCAAGTAAGTTAAGTAAATAACTAGACCCTACCTAACAATGAGCAACTAAATAATCAGTGCTAAGTTTTTTTAACAAGCCTAAGTTTAAACCTATTTTACCTAGTAGGTATGTTGAATATTTATTTACTGTCCACTTCATAAGCCAGCTCCAGCTAAAACAAGGTATTACGCCTAACTTAAGTTTTGTTCTCTTAACTTAATTTTTTGTATGATATTGAGCATTTTACTTCAAACTTTTTTCCTATTAGCCTAATTAAGGAGTGGACTATATTTTATTGGAACTGTATTGTAATAGACCATAAACGTAAATGTTTTGTTTTAATTCTTTTCAGCGTCGTAGTCTGGCTCCAAGTCAGATAAAACGAACCATTGAAAATGATAGTGAGCCTTCCCCTAAAAGAAGCTTAAAGAACAAGAAGCTAAGCACTCCTGAACATCGGCCTGTTCTAGTGGTCTTAAATACACCTGAACAAGTATCTGCACACGTAAGTTCTATTCTATTTTGTAAGCTCCTTAATTGTTTTGATTGTCAACTTACACACAAAACTAAGCCTCTTATAATAATGATAATGAATTTGTTAATAACTTAATTATTAATTTTCATACTACTGTTTCAAGTCAACTTAATTCATAGGCAATTTCATTGCAAGGACTTGCCATTTATTGTGTGAAATTTTGTTTGTTTTTTGTTACCAGTGTGTTCTGTATAGCCAGGAATAAGTTACAGGAATTTAGTTATTGACACTATTGGCAGGTTTTGACATGGGTAATTTGAAATTAGGCCTTACAGACCAAGCTACTTCAATTTTTTAATGTTTTTATTTATTTTAGATAAAAAACTAAATTGTGAAAAAGATGAAACAGATTACCCTAACTTATATACAGTAGGCCTACAAAAGGCTAATTTATGTAATTAAGTAAATTATTAAAGTTGTTAGATTATGCTTTGAATATGTTTATTCAATTTTTTGCCGTGTCTTGTGACGCAAGCGTGATGCGCGAGCCTGCCGTTCAACGGTTGTTTTTTTGGATCCATCGTTTTTCAAAGCCCAACACTCTTGTCCCGACTCTCGGTCTTGTCTTCCAGCAACCTAACTAGGCCTACCGTGAAGTCGAACAGTTGGAACCTTCCTCAGAAAACTATGTTGATTATGGAAGCTAAGTATAGATTATAAGCAACGCCATTCAAATATGTTAGGCTAGGAGCAAATTCAAGGGGGGGAAGCCTACTGGCTTTCGCTCCTACGCTGGAAAATGTTATTAAATAGTATGTTTGATTCCGCCTAAGGGCATCAAACAATCTCATTCATGTTTTAAAGTCATATTGTTCCAAGAAATTAACTTGTCAGCAAAACGTTCATTCTCAGTTCAACTACCAGATTTATTTAATCAATGTTTGCTCCAATCAGGTGTTTATGTCTGGATCAGATTCATTAGTTTGGAAGGTGTCAATATTAGAAATTAAATAACTTTTATCAAAGCTGGCTTGGGCTTAAATTCCTGGTCTGGTTAAAGATTCCTGTTCTCTGGTCCCCAGCAAACATTTCCTACAATCATTATGGTCAATTTGTACCAACAAACATAGCCATAATCACAGCAATAGTTTTATGCCATAACCACAGTCACTATTAACAATTACATAGTTTCCACAACATTTAACTCAAAACCAGTGGCGGTTCCAGAGAGGGGGCCATAGGGGCCATGGCCCCCCCCCCCGGAATCAGGTTTTTTAAAATTTTTTCAAGCTTTATAATTCAAAAATGACTTAAAAATTGTCGCGCACATCCCCGTTTCCCACCATCCACTCACGTAGACATGTGCGTTCGAGTGTATACATCCTCAACGTTGCAGTGTCGCATGCTCACCCGCCTGGCTGGGAAATGTAGTACAGATACCATCTAAATTATAACTTAATACGGAGTATGCTTAAACCCATTGGGGAAGGAATTAATCCGCTACCTGCAGCACCCTCTGGCGGCAATTAATTTTACCGAATTTGTAGACTTTTACTCTAACTGCTATAGAAAGAAAACCTTAGGTAATAAATTAATAATTAATTCACCATTTTGTTCACAGTAAAATTGTCTACAGAAAAGTGTTAACTGGATAGTAAAAGTTCTGAACTAAAAAAATATATATATATAAAGATTATAAAAATAAAAATTTTAAAAACAATATTTTGAAAGTAAACTTGATATACAAATTCCAAGATTAATCCAGACACCAAATAACACTACTATTATAAAGGTCGATCGATTCCCTACGTAGAAAAATCAAAAGTTGTGTACTTTTATAAGTAATAACATTTAAAAAAAATTGTTTGTTTACCTTACCGCAGCTGATTTTTGGTGATATAGGTGGTTTCCATGGCAACACAAAATTGTTTGTTATTCGCTAAAATAAATTAGTAAATACGCAAATCAAGAAGCAAGATATTTATAAACATTATAATAGTTAGAAGAAACAAAAAGGGCGAAAAATAATAATAACTAAATAAAAAATGGCGCTGCCTAGCGGTGACACGAGCGGCTCTCGTAAGTCGGCCTGCAGCGGCCGTACGAGTAACGCTCGTAAGTCGGCGCCAATGGGTTAATCTAATACTCCCCTGGATACTGGCGCGCTGTGTGGTAGAAAAACGGGCCCACTTATTTTTTAACATAAAGATTTCAAATTTATATATATTTTAGACAGTGCTTATTACTGTGTAGTTAGTTTGAACCTTAACATATTATTTTATAGTTTATTTAGGCAAATTAAGATTGATGGTAAATTTTTAATAGCACTAAAAACGTCAAAAATTTAGTAAGCGAGGAACTTTTTATTTTCTGAAACAATCATTGTTAAAGGAATACAATGCGCGTCAACATTATGAAACAAAACATTAAAAAATAGATAGGTGAAATTACAGGGCCGGTAAGAACAGAAAAAGGTTTATCAATGGTTTAAGGAAGTTTTGCAAACTCTCCCTTTCAGATTACAAGAGATTAAACTTTTTCTTCGTCAGAGTGCTTAAAATGTCGACTTTGTAAGTATAAATTTTCCCGGACCCCCTCCCACAATGGGGGGTAGTCCATACCCCCCAAACCCCCCGGAAGTTGTGGCCATGCTGGCCTAGAATTAAAATAACCCTACACACTCGATAGAATGGCCCCCTCCGAAAATTAGCCCTGGACCCGCCCTTGCTCAAAACGCCGCAACTACCAGCCTTGTCCCGTCAGTCACGCCGTTTATATTACCTATATCCCACCTCCACAGTCTACACCAGTGTCATTTTAACACAAACACTTTTAAAGGAATGTGACCAAAACCATTTTGTATTAACACTCTTCGGTACTGTGTCAGTGGGGGGATGGCCTCCTGATCGTCACCACTGATGATCATCCATATAAGCGTATTCAAACAAATTAGGTCAGGTATGATCGATCTTAAAATCAATTAGGTTCAGCAAACTTATATTGTTCTTTTGATGTTTGTAACTTTTAAGACACAGTCCTTATTGTTTGCCTTCTCAAATCTCAAGGATTGCTTAATCATTTGTACTGTTGCAGGAAACCCTAATAAAGAAGTTGCTATCAAAGCCTTTCAAAGTTCCCATAGCCAACTACCAAGGTCCCCTCGGTAACCGTGCCTTGGGAGTACGCCGAGATGGTGTGCGCCGGTCATTACACGACCCTGAAGCACCAGGAGCTCTGGTGTTGTTCACTCCACCCCAGCTCAGCGCGCACGACCAGCTTAAAATGGACAAGTTCGTAACAATCTGTTAACAGGGGTGTGGTACAACTAACTACTGTAAATAGGTGTTACTTGTACGGGGTGGAAAAAAAGTCCCAGAACTGTTTAATATTTCAAAAAGTATTATAGATAGAGCTTTAAAACTTGGTCCACAGTTATTGATAATTAAGATGATCTTAACACATTATTCAAAGATGCGCTACCTCTTCAGGGGGATTCAGCTGACTTCTGCTAGGAGTCAGAAGAAAATCTTAAATGTACAGTAAGCATGGGTTGATATCCACATCAAATTAACCATTTGAGGTCGAATGGCGAGTATAGGTCGCCGCCCGCCGTTTTCCCGACTGATAAAATGGCTACCTATACTCACAAAAAAAAAAATTAAATAAAAAAAGTTGATCTTTGCGGTCTGGCGAGTATAAGTCGATAAACCCAATTTTCCCGACTACTGGAATGGTAAACTATACTCGCTGAAAAATGGAGAAAAAATTTGACCTTTAAAGGGAGGTCTTTGCTATTAAAATACAGTGCAGCAAACCCGAACTCAAACGGAGAACCGAGTCAAAAATGAAAGCTACCTATTCAAAGATGAATTAAATTTGCATTGCTATTACACGCTACTCCTCAGGGGGCGACCGCTAGAAGTTGGAAGAAAATTGTAAATGCATGTATAGGTCAATATGCACATCAAATTAAAGGTCTTTATTAGTATAATATAATGCCACAACTTTCTTCTGACTCCTAGTGGGCCATCCCCCCGAAGAGGTAGTGTATCACTGAATCATGCGTTAAAATGATGTTAATGCCCAGTAACTGTGTTTTAATTTATAAAGCTCTATCTTTATTATGTTTTGAAATATTTAACCCACCTGGGACTTTTGTTCCAACCTGAATCAACACTTGTGGATTTTCACTCAGATTTTTTTTTTTCGTTTTGTTTGTAAGGAAGCGGTCCAATACATGATCTTGTTGCTGTTACTAACATCGATATTTTGTATTTTCACTAATTGTTTGTATCTGACATTGGCCTTTGGCTTTTTTGATTAATCTATAGCCCAAAAATAAATGGCTTCTGAGTTCAGAATCATGTCTGCTCGGGATTAAACCATTACTCTTCAGATTTGAAGGTGTGCACAATAACCAGTCAGCTACCCCAATAGTTGGATGGATTAAGAATCATTGGATAATCTAGATCTATTCAAGTTATGAGTTGAGTTTATGCATGTTATGTAATCGCTATGTACTAGCCTCTTGCTTTTAGAAAAGTGCTGGAAATATTTGCCAACCATCCTTCTTTGTAAAATCTTATATAATCTAACAGAGCACCATAACTACTTGATCTCCAAGATTACGGTTTTTTTTGTCCTAGGACGCTAGGCACAAGCCCGTAATTGTTTTTCACATTACTTCAGACTCGACCTAGGGGTTGCGGCATTATCAGATGGATAAAATCCATGGGTGATTTGGCAGGATTTGAACCCGGGACCTCTGGAACCGAAGAACTAGACCAGCTTGATCCCCCATGATTAAGGTTTAAAGATAAACTAGGGTTGCTTTCAGAGAGGTGAAAGCCAGTTGAGCGGAACAAACGTGATTTGAGATTAAATATTGATTTCGATGCGGTTCGATATATCGCTTATTAAATTCTGATTTCTAACATTGGCTGTTTCTAATCACCTGGCAACACATATAGGTTCCCAAGAAAGTAGTCACCGGTCCGTATCCCTCCGCTCCTTGTTTATGCTCCCCGTATTGAGAAAGTAGTTCCGTATATTTTCTCGATTTGCAGTGAATTCCGCGCCTTAAAAAAATGTTATAACGGTATTTTCTGGTTTATTAAGATCATAGGAATGGTTTAAAAACGTTTAAAAGAAAAGTCTAGAAGGTTCAGAAATACCTTATGGGTATCTTGTTTACATTTTTCTTGTAAACAAAAACCTGTCATGGCTACTTTAGTCCCATAAGCCTAATGTTAAAAATTGGAAATTTTAAGTTCGTTTTAAATTGCATTAGCAATATCTAATTGAAATTTGTTTGTTTAAAAACCATCTCACTATTAGTCTAAGTAATTTTGTTAAGTTTTACTAAAATGCGTTCAGCCGTTATTGAGTGATGTTTCTCTATTTGTTGCATTGAAGTTGATCCCAAAGAGCTTCGCTCGCTCCGCTCAATGAATACAGACAAGTACAGTCTTTCTCTTAATTTTCAGAGACAAGATCCTCGTTCATGTGGTTGTCGATCCTATACTTTCAAACATTTTGAGGCCTCATCAACGTGAGGTAAGTAACTGTTTTAGTTTTAAGATTATATTTGTTCCAAATAAAACTTTATTTTTGTACCTGTTTGTAAGATAGGCTAATGCTAGAACTTTGCTAGAGGCTAAGGCTGATGGACCAAGTTGAGGGATGTTACAAAAGACCAAAAAGTGAAAGTTATCTTTATGTAGCCATATCCCCTTCAACTAGTTTTATGCACTAAGTTAGGCCTAAAATTTAAGATTAGTTACGCACAACTAGAGTACCGTATTTTTCTTGTTTTTTATTGTTTTCTAAATTTGTCCCAGGGAGTAAAGTTTATGTACGATTGTGTGACGGGACAGCGCATCGAGGGAGCGTACGGCTGCATCATGGCGGACGAGATGGGTCTGGGAAAAACACTTCAGTGCATCACCCTGATGTGGACTTTGTTGAGGCAGGGTCCAGAAGCCAAGCCTACTGTAGAAAAGGCAGTGATAGTGGCACCTAGCTCTCTTGTCAAGGTATATGCTTATTTTTAAACTTTGCAAACTAGTCAGTCACTTATATTACTTCACCTAGTGGCGAACTCTGTGAATGTTTTAAGCTGAGTATATGCAAGGTGTATTAGGTATGAAGTAGGATGAACTTTGTTGTTTTGTTACTTACCAAGACCTAGGACTAAGACTAAAATTATTTTTTTATGCCTGTTTATTTGGAACCAGAACCCATTTTCAGTGCTTTAGAGAAGATTTGGTTCTATGATTTTGATTTATCATATAATTTTATATTGTACTTATAAAACACATTGTAGAATTGGTGTAACGAGATAACCAAGTGGCTCGGGGGTCGAGTTAGCGCTCTTGCGATCGATGGTGGATCCAAGGACCACATAGACCGCCAACTGAGTGGGTTCATGCAGACATACCGAGGTCGGACGACACAGCCGATCCTGGTTATCTCCTATGAGACGTTCCGAAGCCACGCAGCTGTGCTACACAAGGGGGAGGTGGGACTGGTGTTGTGTGATGAGGTAAGTTGTATACATAAAAGCAGGTTGAAGTTAGTTTAATATTGTATGAGATAAACAAACATTAGTAGTTTCTTACTATCTATGGTTGATACTTTTAACTGAATACCGTATACAAAGTCCTTCTAATCCAAACTAATTGTACTAGACCCTGTTAGGATTATCAAATTGTTCATATTAGCTGGAAATAGAGTATTATTGTATTTAAAAAAATAAAACCATGAATCTTTATGACAGTAAAAGACCGTTGATGAGGCCTCAAAATGTTTGAAAGTATAGGATCGACAACCACATGAATGAGGATCTTGTCTCTGAAAATTAAGAAAAAGACTGTACTTGTCTGTATTCATTTATCTTTAAGATGTTGTGTTCTTTATATATTGCTCCTGCAACAAAGACAAAACTGTGAATGAAACATGATGGCAGCAACAATCACGGTCTCCCACAATTACGTTCTTTGTACTACATGACAACCAACCACTATTTACCTCCCTCCTCCTCCTGGTCAATCATTTTTTTCTTCTCCGTGTAGAAATTCTCTATACTTGACAGCATTTTGTGTGAGAACTCTTTAATGTTTTTGTTAGTAGGCTACCTTTAATTTAACCATCAAATGTGGTAGTTAATCCAAACCGGGGCAGTTTAGTGGAACAGGATGGTATTTTTCAGCCTTGTAAAGCAGTGGGTGAAAATATTTAGAGATAATGAAAACACCTTTTTCCTTATTAAATGATTTCTCTATGTCTTTTACGATTTATAGGGTCACCGACTGAAAAACTGTGAGAGTCAGACATACGTGGCACTGATGGGACTTAATTGCAAACGCAGAGTTTTACTCTCTGGAACTCCGATTCAGAATGACCTCCTCGAGTACTTCAGCCTGGTGCACTTTGTCAATCAGGGCATCCTAGGAACTGCTCAGGTAGTAATAAACTAAGAATAAAAATACAAGAAAAATAAAGTCATGTTTGTTAAGGTCTTTTTCCTTACAAGTCTGGTTAAGATTGTAAACTAATCCAGGTGATGGTAAAATGTTTATTATGCCATCAAAACTGAAAGAAATTCCACTCCTAACCCTGACATAACAACATGAATGACACTTTAAACATAAAAGATATAATTTTTATAAATAACTAACACTGAAATAAATTTAAACTCGTAGACAGACATAGGAACATGAATATGAGATCAATACATTGAATCAATACATAGTTTTGAATCTCAAAACCCTCCGATCAAAAATCTCGTTCAGTCGTAACCTAAACTTTTTCATATTTTTTGTGGTCTTTAGATTTGAGATTCAGTTTTGACACATCACTAGTGGAGAGCCATAATAGATAGACTGTTTATAGGCTTGGGTCCTCTCTCTCTCCCAATATCTTTGAGCTCCATGACTAAAACGTTGGCCCAACGATTGAAACAATGCCTTGCAAGCTCTGCAACCTAGGAGTCAAGCTTGTAACTAGTGCACTTAGATTTTTTGTTGGCCAGTGTTAGTGTTTGAGGTAGACTGTTGTGTCTGGCTGTTCTTTATCACCTTAGCCAGGTGACAGCACCATGAATTAAGGGGTGTTGGTTAAATCTGGTGAGTAAGTCATGAGATGTTTACCAGTCCGACTGTTTTAGGAGTTTAGAAAACATTATGAGACTCCGATCCTACGAGGCCAAGACTCTATGGCTTCGGATGCAGAGAGAGCCAAAGCAAATGAACGGCTTCAACAGCTGATTGGACTTGTTAACCGGTGTCTGATTAGGTATGGTATAGCAATTACTAAATACCATAATACTATCTATTTCAAAAGTGAAAAAGATCTCTTGTCTTTGAAATTCCATCTTAACTTGTTTCTTTTGTACTGTACCTAGACAGTAAAGTAATTTTGAACTTTGAGTTCCAAAGGCTGATGTGTCAAAAGCAAGAGTAACATGACCGACTTCTACTTACAACCTATGCAAGTAAAACTCAAAAACCAACTGATCTTCTGGCTGTTCTTAATGTTCTGCAACCTGGTGGTCAAGTTTAGAACTACTACCCTTCGGCTTTTGGTTGACAAGTAGGTTTTTGCAGTAGACTGTTATGTCTGGCTGAGTGATTTAAGGCACTGTCTTCAGGTGACAGCACTTAAAATTGAGAGTTTAAAACTTTTCTCAGTCAGGTCTACTGTGCAACTCATGTGATCATCTGACTGTGACAGAGCTTGAAGTTTCACGTAGAATAATCTGGGAAGGATATTGACGAGAAAGGTAGATTGTTATGTAGTTGCACCTTAAATCAGGCAATTTAATACTTTTGGCCATCTTTACTGTGTGGGTGTCCACTGAAAACTTAATAAAAAATAATTTGAATATTGGTGTTTGAAAGATGAAGGAAAACAAGATAAGAATAGGCATAACTATTTTACTGAGTTATCTATGAGGTTGAAAGGGCTAACTTTTGTGTATTGTGTACAGGCGAACATCAGCTCTCTTATCGCAGTATTTACCCCTCAAGACTGAACAGGTGGTCTGCATAAAACTCTCCTCCCTACAAGCAGAACTCTACAAGAAACTCATCAACTCCGACTCCTTCAAACGCAATATCAAAGGTATTTTGTCACAATATAAATTAGTTAGAATTAATTAATCATCCCATCCATGTGGATCAGCTGTAGTATTTTTTATTCAAATTAAATAACATAGTTGAATGAGCCACAGAGGGAGCTTCTGTCAAGTCTCTAATTTATCTCTTAGGTTTGGGTACTATGCAAGTTTGTATGATATAAAAAAATGATATAATTTACAGCAAGTTAATCTTTCAGTTATGGTTGGTTAAAAAGATGGCATATGCATCAGAAAAAAGAAATTGACAACAGCACTTTCTGTCAATGGCTCAATATTCAACTATGCTCATTCTTATTCTAAAACTAGCAACAACTTTATCATAGGAACAGAATATCTAGTTATATCCATCGCTAAAGATGGACTGTATTCATACAAAACATTTCAGGCGCAGGAGGAGAGGGTAAAGTGTCGTTGTCTGCGTTGTCGTCGATTACGTCGCTCAAAAAACTGTGCAATCACCCGGACCTGGTCATGGACAAGATACTAGCTGGAAGTGACGGGTTTGAGGACGCAGCCGCTCTCCTGCCCCAGGGGTACCAACAAACCTACGCCAGGTGAGAAGTGAAACTGTCCAGAGGGCTAGCACCAAAGTTGTTGTCATTGGGAATTGGGAATTGTAATACCCCTGCCTCAGCAAACCTGAAGACTAAGTGAATTACCAGGTGCAGTGGTTGATTTAAACGGTTGTAAAAAATGTCATCCTCGAGTTATTACGCTAACGGACACATATATCTAAATATATGAATTTGAATGGATGGTGTTTTTGGCCTCTGGGGACCTCAAAACGCAATAGTAAATTAGTCGCGGGTCCAGGTCTTATCATATAATCATTACTCTTTTACATCTGAAACCCTTTGTGGTTTTTACCCTTGACTATGTATGTGACTTGACCTTTCAATCCCAAGTGTTATAGTTGCAGCCAGTTTTAGAAAATTAATGCATAATTGACACTCTTAGGCCGGCCGCACACTGGTCAAACAAAACACTTTTGACAAAACGTTTTGTCGGATAACAAAAACAAATTTGGTTAGTCCCCCGTAGACCAGTGTTGTGAAAACACAGTACGTATCTGGTGTTTATAACAATGTTCGAGGAAGTGGCCGTTGCAATTAATAATTACTATAAATGATTAATAATTGCTGTAATAAACTCATCTATACGTACAGTAGACTCCCTCTTATCCGGACTCCTCGGGACCGAGGCCAGTCCGGATAACGGTTTTTCCGGTTAAACGGTCGTCCCCCAAAAAATGCATACTCTATACAGTATTTGACTTAAAATTAGGAGAGAATTGTATTTAGACACGGAATCACTGGTCTCAAATCTTTCCTACGAGAACAGTCGTTTCAGTACCGCCCACTTCCTACCAATCTAGTCCGGTTAAACCGATGTGCTGATGAAAATTATCCGGATAAAGAGATGTCACTTGTACCGAGTGTAATCCGGTCAAACCGATGTCCGGATAAGAGGGAGTCTAATGTACATTTCTTTAAACTTGTCAATAGATATATATTGAGAAATTTTTCTAGATAATTATTCTTTAATGGAAGCTATTTTAACATATGTATTGGTTTGGCACATGTGGTTGCATTTGAATAAGAATTTGGTGACAACTGTTGTATGAGATGTCTACTCCAGGGTTGCCATTTGGCGGACTATGTTAATCCGTGAGGTGGTGCCCCCCTCCACCACCCCCCCCCCCCCCCCCCCCCGTCTGATTTTTCCTTAACCAAAGGTGGCTTCCCTGGTCTAAGCTGGTAAAACATCATAGTTACTGTGTAACTTTTTCACCCCCACAGAAAGACGCTGATGGTAGAGCTGTCTGCCAAACTGATGGTGTTGGATTGCATGTTGGCTATTGTCAAGACAACGACAACCGACAAAGTAGTGTTGGTGTCCAACTACACTCAGACCCTGGACCTGTTTGAGAGACTGTGTCGTCTGCGAAACTACCAGTATGTGAGACTAGATGGCAGTATGACGATCAAGAAAAGGGCCAAGGTAGAGAGAGTTTTTGGTTTTTTCTTTTTTAATCTAGCTGGATGTGTTGAGTATTGTATATGTCAATACTGTACAATACGTCTTTGCTTCTTTGTAGTAGTTGTGAGAGTATGGTGGCAAATTTGAATGTCTTTGAGTTTGCTCTTTGACTGGGTTTGGACTGGTGATGAAATGTAGTTTCAAGAAGATGTCTTGAACTAATAACGAATAAAAGAATTTTTCTGGGATATTTGTTTAGAGTATATACTGAACAAATTGCTTGTTTGAAAAATACTGAAACACACTAGGTATTAACTGTTTTATAATTTCATTGAATTTGTTTGATTAAATTATAGATGTTTAATTCTCTATCAATGTTGTTTCCTTGTGCACTTAAATCTTTCCACAACACCAGCTGGTTAGCTGAGTGGTTGTAGTGCTTGCCTGGTTATCAGAAGAATGCTGGTTTGATCCTGAGAAAAGTCAGTCACTCTTTAAGGGTTTGAAACTAGACCCAGCTATCCTTCATCATTGGGCTTTTAATAAATGGTCCTGGCTAAAGCAACAGTTAGTCTTTTTAAAAGTCCGCAACAAAGCCAACATCCCTTTTTAACACTCATACTTAACTCCTCTCTGCCTTCAAATACACACCTTGGTGTGTCGACGTCGTTTGAATCTAGTCTGATTTCCCCTAAAACCCAAGTTTTCTTTTGACATTTAAGGCTTCCCAAATCCCATCGCTATTTGACATTTACCAATGTATATCTCATTTAGTAAAGATATTCTTTTTCAACTGTAGGTTGTAGAGAACTTCAACAACCCAATGGGAGGTGACTTCATCTTCATGTTGAGCTCCAAGGCAGGCGGTTGTGGCCTCAACCTCATCGGAGCCAACCGTCTCGTCATGTTTGACCCTGACTGGAACCCGGCCAATGACGACCAAGCAATGGCTCGGGTCTGGCGAGACGGACAGAAGAAACCATGCTTCGTCTACAGGTTCCTCTGTGTAAGTATGATAATATTGTGACTTGTGTGGAAACTTGAAATCGTCCACGTTGATGGTTTTAAGGGCCCCAAGGCTGTGGGCTTCGCCGGAAATGGCTCCCAGAGCAAAATGAAATAAATAGTTGGATTTGGGAGAGTTTTTTAACATTTAACTTTTTAACTAGTCAGGGGTGTTCAAGCTAAATACTGGTTTGTATTGATGTAATTATTCATTGAAGTCTGACCACCAAGAAAAATAAGAGAATTTAAATTTGTTGTTTATGTTTTAATATAAACAATGTCTGTTGAAATTTTGTGAGTACACAATGAACACCTATGTGTGAGCCATGTACATAGGGAATCAATGAGGATTTTAATACTAGTGATATTACTGTGCTACTTCTATAAATAGACAGTTTGAAAGAGGATTTTTACATTGTATTGCCTAGTTATAATTTTTCTGTGTTGGATGCAGACCGGCAGCATAGAGGAGAAGATGATGCAACGACAAGCGCACAAGAAGGCTTTGAGCTCATCTGTGGTAGATTGTGAAGAAGATGTTGCACGACATTTCTCTCTCTCCGAGTTACGCAGTTTGTTTCAACTGGAAGAGAACACGCCGAGCGATACACACGACAAGTGGGTAGAACAGTGTACCGTATGCTTAGTGAAAGAGTGCTTGCTTGAACACTCATAAAATTTAGAATTTGATTTACTCTCCACTTTATATGAAATGCACTCTTTTTGGTGATGATAGTTTATGTTGTCTTAGAGATTAGTGCATACATTTCAGGATCTGAAATTAAATCCCGGACCTGCGGTGAGAAAGTACTTAATAAGTAAAGTACCAATAATACTACAAAAACCCAAAATAATGCTGGAAATCACACAAGAAAAACACAAAGAGAACTGGTAATCAAACATCCATTGTGTTTGCCAGCCCTCTATTTATTTTTACAGATTGTTAGGGATTTTGGTTTCTTATTTATCTTTCATTTGTAGGATCAAGTGTGGTCGATGTGTGAATGGTATACAAACCAAGCCTCCACCAGCTGACTCTGACTGTACGGACGACTTGTCGTGTTGGCATCATTGCCGAGAGAAGCGGTGGCTCGTAGACCCGGTGCTGCGACAGTGCTGGGATGCTGGTGTGTCCTTTGTCTTCTACCAACACTCCCAGAAAGCGACACCCAAGGTAACAATACTTATACAAAATGATTTAGAAGAAAGCGTGAGTTGACTCGTTTAATGCTATGATGTGGGGATATTTTTTATGGTATCTCCCACACATATAGTCTTTGATTACAATATGTACATATTTTATAACAAAAATACCCCCGCCGCAGCAAACCTGCAGACTAAGCGAATTTCCATTTGACTGATTGGATTTACACCGAAATGTCTACTTAAAAATATAACATTTATTCTTGATTTAAATAGAATTAGTTTAACAAGTACTTAGGTTTGCTGCATCAGGGAGGGTAAAACTGTTTGTTTTTTTTTTGTAAAATGTGAATAGTTAGTAAGAAATAAAAACATTTTCCAAATTTGATCAAAATATGTTCACAAACAAGCAAACTACAACAGTTTACTTATTCTCCATAAGACTTTAAATTTACAATTTTTTGGAATTTTCACCCTAACCATTAGGCGCATAATAACGCTTCAATATACTAAATTATTTGTTTTTTAAGCTCTACAAAATGGTTTGGAAAGAAATTGCTAAATTTTATGTTTTTTGGGTCAAAAATGGGAAAAACCTATTTTTACCCCATAAAACCCCCCGTAAACCCCTGTTCCCATGGTCCGATCATGCTGGATCGCGAACTCGTTCGAATAAACGTACGTTTACACGTTTGTACCAAATTTCATCAAAATCGGATCATTTTTGCTCGAGTTATCGTGCTGACGGACACATATATATATATATATATATGAATTTGAACGGATGGTGTTTTTGGCCTCTAGGGACCTCAAGACGAAAAAAAAATTTGTCCCGGGTCCAGGTCTTACCATGAGTACTACGGTAATAGCTTATTCCCTATATGGGAAATTCGCTAAAAGGAAACTATCCTCTTCTTTACTGAAGAAAAACAAGAAGCAAAACAGGTTATGTTTGCAATGCCTAGTGATGTGAACTTCTGCCCAAGCCATTTGCAGAAAGTCCCTCCTATGACAACATGAGTTCAAACACTTTTAAGGGAAAGCGGTCCAAACCCATATTAAAGTTTTGTGTATGTACCAGGAATTGAACCCGTCCCTCCTGCACCGAACTCTGAGACGCTAACCACTACACTATGACACACCCACTTAAAACTGGTGTATTTAAAATAGGGTTTGTTTTGTTGTGACAAATTTAGATTATGCCATTATTTCAATGGAAGTAATGTAAAATGTTATCAATTTATTACAGAAGACAATCACAGAAGAAGAATCTAAAGAAGAATTATTGGAAGAAGGAGAAGATGAAAGTGAAGAAGATGATAAAACCGACGACAGCTGATGATATTGATTTAACAAACTATTTACTTTCCTATGTAAGTGAGGTTTATTTTTACTACTGTGATATTGTGTGTTTTTAATTTTGTATAGGATTGTGCCTTATTTTCTACTCTTATCAGATTATCATACTTTTGTATATAGCGATAAAATATATTGATTTGTGTAACAAAGTGTTATTTATCCCACCTAAATTGTCAGATCGTAGTGAAAGAGTGCTGTTTATATTGTTTTAAATTATTTTTAATATGAATTTGTTTATCAACATTATTCTAATTAATTATTTTAAGAAAAAAAAAACTTATTGACCATTGGGTAAAGGCAGTGTTGATAAAAGCAGAGTAAAAAGTGTTGAAAAGAACATATGTTTGAAGGTGTATACATACTCCCTCTCATAGACATCATTATTATGGTTCAGCTAAAATGTTATAATGTATGTTTTTGTCTGGTTCGCTTACGTGACACTTTGTGTCTTATTATTTCATTTTACAAGCGTTAAAATTATTTTAACCAAATACAACTATCTTTTTGTAAACTACTGCTTCTCTGGTTTTTTTTAACAAATCCAAATCAGAGAGCAGAAAGTTTGTTCAAGAAGAATACACCATTTATAGACACAAATGTGAGTTGCGTAAACATCTAAACACTAATGTGGTGTAACTAAAACACTAGACTCTAAAATAAGTCTCAGATTTTACAAGATCATGAGAGGTATTACAGGCTCCAAATTCAGTGGTTCGATACAATACTTCATTCTATTTTATATATAATCATTCTACTGGGTACCGGTACTTCATTATTTATATTCAGCTTTAAAAATGCACCTAGTGTGTGTTGCTGTATGAAACGTTTGATTGACGATATAGTTGTCTGACAAATGAACTGGTTGATATGGAAAGAGTACAACGATTGTGCATACGGCATCCTAGAAAAACTAACTTATAATGATGAGTGATGCAAATAAAAATCTATATATTAATTTGAAACTGTTTTTCTTTGTGACAGCTAATTTGAGAGAACGGCTGGGCGTAGAAACTCGGTAGGGGTCTCTAAAGAAAGGTCTTGGTCTGAAGATGAGCCATCAAAAGAGTAACGTGGTAAATTTCCTTGGGGCTCTGCCCCAGTGGTCTTTAAATTCCCATCCCATGTTATTCTTATGGAGGAAAAACGGGGTTTTGTCACAGCTATTTTCAGAGAACGGCTGGGCGTAGAAACTTGGTAGGGGTCTCTAAAGAAAGGTCTTGGTCTGTAGATGAGCCATCAAAAGAGAAAAGAGGTAAATCCCCTTGGGGCTCTGCCCGAGAGGCCTTTGAAGTTGCCTCTCCAGATTTGTTTACATTACGACCATATGCATCAATTTTCACTACTCTTCAATGAAACAGCTGTTAATATTGAAATTGTGATTTGTAAAATTATTTGCAATGATTTTTTTTCAGATTTTAAAGTCAATTTTCTTTTGCATCGTGTCATGTTTTGCAATACTGTGTAATGTTCTATTACCAAATCAGTGGAAAATATCACAGTAACTCTTAAGATTATTTCTTATGAAGTTAACTTATATCTATTGTATGGGTTGGTTTCTGCATTTTTTACCACTTCTTGGAGATTGTACTTAGGCGTGTTGTACGTATACGATATTCTTTGGCGTATCGTATCTGTAGACGATACTTGGGTTGTTGTAATTATTACAATGGAAAAAACGAGAAATTCTGGACAATTTGATATACTAAAAATTAGGCCGATTAGGCCGGGGCCTAGGGCCGCAAGCAAAAGGGGGCCGCAGAGGATTGGGAAAAACATTTTTTTATATAACATTTTAAAAAAATAATTTATTTTAAACCACCAGTTTGCCACGATCACAGGTGACCATAATGATGTCTCCGTGAACCGAGGGAGATGTTCACGATTTTGCCGCGGCCTCGGGTGCCTGTGATGATGTCCCGTGATTGCAGCCCGCGGGAGACGTTCATGATTTAGCCGCGGCCGCGGGTGACGGGGATGTGTCCTTATGATCGCAGCCCACAGGAGACGTTCACAAGTAGATGCTGTATCGAGTTGTCAATGATAATGTCCCCGTGATTGCGGCCTGTGTGCGGGAGATGTTCACGATTTCGCCGCGGTCACAAGTGTCGATGATGATGTCCCCGTGATTGCGGTCCGCGGCAGATGTTTATGATTTCCCCACGGCCGCAAGTGTTGGTGATGCATCCCCGTGATTGCGGCCCACGGGAGATGTTAAGATGTTGGAGATTGTACTTAGGCGTGTTGTACGTATACGATATTCTTTGGCGTATCGTATCTGTAGACGATACTTGGGTTGTTGTAATTATTACAATGGAAAAAACGAGAAATTCTGGACAATTTGATATACTAAAAATAAAACTGAATTAACACTGTACTACATTTCTTGAGCAATCATTGAAAGAGCTGATTTGCAAACAATGGAAACATAGAAAAGTCATAGAACACAACCAAGTAGAAGAAATAAAAATAATGTTTTTTTTTTCATTTATAATCGTTATTACAGACAACCTATTGCTATGAGTGGGAAACATTTGTAGAAAACACTAAAAAACAATATCAACTTTTGAAAAAAGATAAGATATTTGCAAACAAATTTGATTATGTCTAACCGTACACATCGTGAGTATTTCCATATTCTTTGAGTCCACTCTTATAAAGTCATCGGAAATTATGACTGTTATTCGTTTTAAAATAACGTCTTTAATGCTTTGCAATTGCTCGAATTCGAGCAACAGGTACACTAGTAGGTTGTTGTTTTGAATCAAGTAAAATATTATTCAACTATCTTGTTTGGAAAAAAAATAGTTCTACAGCTACATGTTAACACGTTCGCTACCAATCACCACATATATACAACTCTGCAGTCATTGCCACATACAGAGGTATACATTTTAATATTACACATGAGACCGGGTGTCACTTGGTTAACACTACACGCACCACAGGCCAGTGATGCAGCAAAGTAAAAAAGTTTTGCCAACTATCATTTGATGTTACTAATTATTATATCCACAGACCAAGTGACGCTCATGTGCGACAGACATCCCTGTAGACCACTGCAGAGAATTCAGGGCCTTCAAATAGACTGTCACAATGATATAAGCTTTTTAATAACATTTGAACACCTACACAAATATGCGAAGACAGTCCGTGGGTAGTCTGGCCGTCGCATATGTGCGTTACTGGTCCTTATGAATGAAAAATTTAGTACTATTGCGGTAGCGAACGTTTTAAAATACAGTGTAAAACAACTTAACCCAAGGTTTATCAATCAATATAATTACATCATTTCACTTAAGTTTATAAAGCCATCTTGCAAAAAAATGTGAAAGTACAAGATTACAGTTTCATTGTAGGGTATTTATAATAATTATTCTGTTTAATTAGCTTTTTAACACATATCTAATACACACTTTCAGCAAAATAAACCATAAATTGATTTCAGTTTCATACACATTTTACCCTACAGGACAATAACCTCCTTTGATTTCCATGTTGTGTTAGTTAAGTGAATTCCTCTTAAAAATTGTTCAAAATGTTGAAGAAATGGTTATATCTGTAAAGGCTGCACGAGGATGTAAGAACTTGGAAATGTACGTAACAGAATATGATACACACAGTATAGGATTTAAATAGAACTACTAAAACATATGTATGCCTCCTATGTGTTTAAACTGTGTTTCCATTCTAACATTCCACTAATATCCAAAAAAAGTAATAGAAAAAATATTACACTACTATGAATCCCTGCTTAAAACATAGGCCTAGTACAGTACTGTGTACCATATTTATATAAATGTCACGGGGAAATTAATTTAATTCCCAATAGTGATGGTCAAAACCAGAAATTTTGAATCTCAAAACCGAAACCGAAACTTGAAAAAATCGAATCTCGAATCTCAAAACCTAAACGCGAAACCTTTTTACTTAGCTGGTAACAAAAGTTAAGGTTACAGAAAAAATACAGGTCTGGTTACAAAGGTTAAGGTTACAGAAAAAATACAGGTAATAATAAAATTTTTAATGAAATCAATACCCCCGCCGCAGCAAACCTGCAGACTAAGCGAATTTCAACTTGTCTGATTACATTTTTACTCAAATATTTCCATAAATAAGACATATTATTTATTCCCTATTTAAATAACATTAAATTTAACAAGTGCTTAGGTTTGCTGCTACGGGGAAGGTAAAAAGTGTTTTTTGACCATACGTGAATAGTATGGGATGAGATGAAATAAATAAATTTGCCAAATTTTATCAATATATATCCATAAACAAGTAAACTACAACAATTTTTATTTTCTGCATAAGAATAACATGGGAATTTTAAATTAAACTATTTTTGAATTTTCTCCGTGACCGTTAGGCATACAACAGCGCTTCAATATACTAAATTATTTCTTTTTTTAAGCTCTACAAAACTGTTTAGAAATAAATTGCAAAATTTTTTGTTTTTAGGGTAAAAAATGGGAAAAACACATTTTTACCCCATAAAACCCCCCATAAACCCCTGTTCCCATGGTCCGATTATGCTGGATCGCGAACTCGTTTGAATAAACGTAGGTTTACACGTTTGTACCAAATTTCATCAAAATCGTATCATTTTTTCTCGAGTTATCGCGCTAACGGACACATATCTATCTATACTATTATGAAAAAGAGGTGGTTGCTGTATTGTGTATGTGTGTATGGGAAAAGTAAACTCGAAAAATACTGGTCGGATTGGGCTTGGTTGCTGTATGTGTGTATGGGAAAAGTAAACTCGAAAAATACTGGTCGGATTGGGCTGAAATTTGGCATGATGATAGCTCACATTCCCGATTAACATATAGGCATATTCTTATTTCAAAAATCCTTTCGGGCTCCGCCCCAGTGGCTCTGGAGTTTCCCATGTTAACCTTATGAGAAATGGAATTATTGAATCTTAACAGCTGTTTCAATTAAACAAGTTGGTTCTGTTCTAATATATAAATATATATATAAATATATATATAAATATATATATAAATATATATATATTTATATATAAATATATATATAAATCTAATATATAAAATTCTCGTGTCACAGTGTTTGTCTGCAAACTCCTCCGGAACGACTTCACCGATCGTTATGAAATTTGGTGTGTAAATTCTG